CAGGTAAAGTTCCATGGGTGGAAGGAACAAATAGGACCTCAGAGATGGGTAGCATAGAGGTTGTGTATATACCCATTTTAGGTTGACACTCAAGGAATGCAAGGACTGACAGGATAATATCTTCATGAAGAGAGGTTTCATTATCAGAAGAGACAGAATTGATTTCCGTGGGTAGCACAAAGGTGGTGTATAGACTCATTTTGGTTTCACACTCAGATACTGCTTTTGAAAGAAAGGTAAACATTCTGCATCCCACAGGTGCATCAGGAATGCACGGACACATAGAACAGATGTTTTCTGTGTCCTGGCCACTGGTTCAGAAACAGTTTAATGTACTGTCATGGGAAAAATAAAGTCCACCATCTTTAAATTATATGATTTTACATATTAAGACATAATAACAATCATCTGTTCTTTAGCAGGTCTTAAAATTAGGTAAATACAACATCAGATTAACAACAACACATGCCATATTACACTGTGTCATGATTTAACAAAAATAAAGCCAAAATGGAGAAGCCATGTGTGAAAAAAGTACACCCCCAATGCCTCCATGTGAATTAAGAGGCTAAGTAGCAGACAGGTGCTCCTAATCAAATGTCCTTGATTAATTGTTCATTGTTCATCAGCAAGTTTGACCACCTCTGTAAATGCAGAAGTTTTAGCAGTTTGCTGGTCTGGAGCATTCAGGTGTGTGTTAGCACAATGCCACCCACCGCCAGTAGGTGGCGCTAGAGATGGACTCTTGCCTATCCCCCTGTATCTATATATTTTTCCCCACCAACAGCCCCCTGGTGTCCACCCCAGTGTTATAATTTAACACCCCTGTAGCCATCTACAATCCGGCTACAGGGGAACCAGTGTCATGTCCTTTAATAGCCATATCCCAATGGCATGGGGAGTTTTTAGTTACTGTGACAAAAGATAAGACATGGGAGAATACAAATATTTATTTAATTAATTAATCTTAGAGAAGCAATTGTTGCTGCCCATCAGTCCTGAGTTAACATGTTAAATGTTAAAGTTCATGACAGTAACCAAGAGTAGTGGTGTTATGTAGACAGGCTCAGCCACTGAGGCTAGTGGTGTTGTGGAGACAGGCTCAAGCACTGAGGGTAGCGATGTTGTCTAAACAGGCTCAGGCACCTAGTATAGTGGTGTTATGGAGATAGGCAGGGCCAGTGCAAGGATTTTTGCCGCCCTAGGCAAAAGTAAAGTTTCCGCCCCCCCATGTGACATCACAATGCCCCACCCATATGATCTGCCATGTTAACTAACGCCAGTGCTGCCGTGTTTACATTAAAAGGCCTGCAGGGACAGGCTATGGACACCAGCACCACTACATTAAGCTGAAGTGGTTCTGGGGACTAGAGATTAGTGCCACGAATAATATACTAGATTGCCTACTTACAACCAGATGAGGATGATGATGGGCTCTAGCTGCAGTCTGGCTCCACTGGTCTGGTGTAGAACAGGCTCCCTGGAGGCTGTTTGCAATTGTGGTCACAAAATTCAATGTTCTGGGAGAATGGGAAGCAGCTCCATTTTTTTTTAAGGCCCTTTACACAGCTCAAGGTCTCTGTCCCAGGGTCCACTTTCATGTTCCACCAATGAGTTTGTTCACAGGGGGTGGAGTAGGGGGATGTCCGGATATGTGTGTAAGGAATGCATTGTGTGAATCTGTGTTTGTATGTGTAAGGGCTGCAAGGTGTGTTTCTGTGTATGTGTATGAGTGTGTGCATCTGTAAGAGGTGCATTGAGTGTGTGTAAGGAATGCATTGTGTGTAAGGGTTGCATTGTGTGTAAGGGATGCATTGTGTGTAAGGGTTGCATTGCTTGTGTGTGTGTGTCTGTGTGTGTAATGCATTGTGTGTTTTTCTGTGTGCAAGGGGTGCATTGTCTTTCTGTGTAAGGGGTGCATTGTGTGTGTGTGTGTGTGATGGATGTCAATCTCTTCTCCCCCCTCTCCCTCCCTTGCCCCTCTCTTCTCCCCCCCTCCCTTGTCACTCTCTTCTCCCCCGTTGTCACTCTCTTCTCCCCTTCCCACTCTCATTCCCCTATCAATTCCCCTCCCTGTCAATTTCTCCCCCCCCCTGTCAATTTCTTCCCCCCTCCCCTGTCAATTTCTTCCCCCCTCCCTGTTCGCCCTACAACCGAAACAAAAACCCTCCACTAAGTCTGACCCAAGCTGGCAAACCATAGAACAAATCTGCATAATGACCAAACCAACCAAAAAACTCATATCCACGTTCTACACATAAGAACACACCGGACTTCAACAGCACCCCCTTCCTTCACATCAGCGTGGGAAAAGGACATTGAATGCCAAATCTCGGAGGCCCAGTGGCAAACCATCTTCAAGGCACATAAACATTTGACTCTCTGTACAACTAACCCGAAAGATATTATACAGATGGTATCTGGTCCCCTCACGCCTCAAACATAACTTCCCCGATATCTGCTGGAGATGCCAAAAAGACAGAGGCACCATGATGCACATATGGTGGCAATGCCCAGAGCTCCAACAGTACTGGCAACAAGTAGCGGATCTAGCCACCAAATGCAATAACATGCAACTACCCTTCTGACCGAGACCTTCCAGCTCCTCCTGCTACCACATGCACCACAAAAACACCAGATATACAATAACCAACTCAGGTGTGAAACTTATGTGCACATCACAGACACACACCAACGGCCTCCCTGACTGGAGGCAACAACCCCTCCACCCCCTAATGCTTGAACCGAAACAAGACTAGGCCCAATACCCTACCACAATGACATTCGCCTTCTCCACTGAAGTTCTCCCCCCCCCATTTCTCCTACCCTGTCCAGACTTGACGAGGACAATAACACGAACCACCTCTATGAGATAAAGCCTGAAGAGCACCCTCTCAAGTGGGTTAAATAAAGAGGTGACACTAGCATCCTGATACACACATCCAAATGCTATATCTAGAGTTATAATGATATACTTAATGCAACCAATGCACCACAAGAAATGTGACTGTCCAAGATGCTGTATAATTTGATAAGAATGCCGCTAAACCATTGTACCAGAGTAGGGCTCCCCTTCCCTTTCTCCCCTTGTTTTTTCTCTTCTGTACCCTAACCCCACGCACAACTATACTACAGTTGCAACAAATTGCAACTTCCCCCCCTTTTCTCTTCTGTACCCCCATGTTTTACGTTTTAAAGCTGACAAAAATAAAAATTGTCAAATTAAAAAAAAAAAGAAGGAAGATATGTAGAAGATGATAAAAGTCTAGCTGACTGCCTCAATGAATATTTTTGTTCTGTATTTACAGATGAAAATGAAGGAAAGGGGCCTCAGTTAGGAAGAAGGACAAATGAGTCATTTTTTACATGTGAGTTTACAGAGGAAAAGGTTCTATTTTAACTGTCAAAAGTAAAGACAAATAAGTCAATGGGACCTGATGGAATACACCCAAAGTTATTAAATGAGCTTAGTGGTGTACTAGCAAAACCATTAACAGATTTATTTAACCAATCATTGTTAACAGGAGTAGTCCCAGAAGATTGGAAGTTAGCGAATGTTTTGCCCATTCACAAGAAATGTAGAAGGGAGGAGTTGGGAAACTATAGGCCAGTATGCCTTACTTTAGTAGTGGGGAAAGTAATGGAAACCATGTTAAAGGATAGGATTGTTGAACATCTAAAAACACATGGATTTCAAGATCAGAGACAACATGGGTTTACTTCAGGGAGATCATGCCAAACTAATCTTATTGTTTTTTTTGATTGGGTAACTAAAATAATAGATCAAGATGGTGCAGTAGACATTGCTTACCTAGATTTCAGTAAGGCTTTTGACACTGTTGCACATAGAAGGCTTATCAATAAACTGCAATCTTTAAGTTTGGATTCCAATATTGTTGAATGGGTAAGGCAGTGGCTGAGTGACCGGAGACCGAGGGTTGTAGTCAATGGTGTATATTCGAAGCATGGGCTTGTCACCAGTGGGGTACCTAAGGGATCTGTACTTGGACCCATTCTCTTTAATATTTTTATTAGTGATATTGCAGAAGGTTTGATGGTAAGGTATGTCTTTTTGCTGATGATACTAAGATATGTAACAGGGTTGATGTTCCAGGAGTTGTGGCAACTGACATTTAATGTGGATAAGTGCGAGATAATGCATCTTGGACGTAAAATCCCAAGGGCAGAGTACAGGATATTTGATAGAGTCCTAACCTCAACATCTGAGGAAAGGGATTTAGGGGTGATTATTTCTGATGACTTAAAGGTAGGCAGACAATGTAATAGAGCAGCAGGAAATGCTAGTAGAATGCTTGGTTGTATAGGAAGAGGTATTAGCAGTAGAAAGAGGGAAGTGCTCATTCCATTGTACAGAACACTGGTGAGACCTCACTTGGAGTATTGTACACAGTGCTGGAGACGGTATCTCCAGAAGGATATTGATACTTTAGAGAGAGTACAGAGAAGGGCTACTATACTGGTTCATGGATTGCAGGATAAACTTACAAGGAAAGGTTAAAGGAACTTAACATGTATATCTTGGAGGAAAGACGAGACAGGGGGGATATGATAGAAACATTTAAATACATAAAGGGAATCAACACAGTAAAGGAGGAGACTATATTTAAAGAACAAAAACTACCACGACAAGAGGACATAGTCTTAAATTAGGTTTACAAATAGTATCAGGAAGTATTACTTTACTGAGAGGGTAGTGGATGCATGGAATAGTCTTCCAGCTGAAGTTGTAGAGGTTAACAAAGGAAAGGAGTTTAAGCATGCGTGGGATAGGCATACGGCTATCCTAATTATAAGATAAGGCCAGGGATTAATGAAAGTATTTAGAAAATTGGGGAGACAAGATGGGCCGAATGGTTCTTATCTGCCGTCACATTCAATGTTTCTATGACAGTACAATTAGAAAAATACTGAGCAATTATGGTTTGTTTGGAAAAGTTGCCAGGAAAAAAGCATCTTCTCTCTAAAAAGAACATGGCAGCGGGGGCGGGGCCAAGCCAGCAAGCTGAGAGGATGCATGAAAGCTGGGCTCCTGCTCTACTTGCTGATATTTTACAAATAATCGCCAAACTCGAGAAATCAAACAAGCCGGGGTGCACTGCCTAAGTCAGGGGTGACCTGGTGATCAGTCCGATATCTGAGTTGAGCACGTTGGTGAACGAGAGCCGAAGTTGGAAAGCTGCGGCCTACTGATGGCGGAACCGGGGAGAGACGGCCGCTCTCCTCGCCGAAACATTGGAGGTACAGACCCACTGATGCCCTGCTCCCCCCCTGGACTGGCGGGGGTTATCCCGGTCCAGCCCTGAGGGGCAACCTCCCTGCCCGAGCCTCTGGGGTAGAATCTGGTGAGCAGCGAGTAGTGGCACAGCCAGGCAAAATGGCCGCAGCCACATGTACCCGAGACACAGAGAAAAATGATCTTGAAGCCAGGCTGGATGAGCTATTCGCCAGGTTTTGGAGAAGTATAACAATCCGGGAGCTTCAGGCACACAGGGTCGCCATCACGGTGCCGGTGAACCCCCAGCATGAGCTCACACCTCCGCCTGTTATCAAAGCATGCAAACGGCACCAGGGACGGCAAAATAGAGGAACCCGAAAGCCCAAGAGTCTACTACTGCTAATGGCGGCAACCCACCCACGCCAGCACCAGGCGAAACGGAACCTACCTGGGAAACAGATGTGGCACACTGGGTCAATCCAGGACTGGTCACAACCAAGGGAGCCCGGGCAGATTGCACCACAACTCCTCAACCAACACCAGCAAGCAGCAGACCCTCGCCCGGGTAGCCCCTGGAGGAGACACCACCGCCGGCAGTACACTGCCTCACACGGCCTCCCACGTGCTAGCAGGTCCGCCCCATGGGGCTCAGATCTCGCTGCTATGAAGACCTCCTGCATTGTACGGATCGGTTGGATACACCATAGCAGGGTAGCAGAGCAGCTGGAACCCGGCGCAAGACCGCCAAGCGGCATTGGATGACTTAGCCTGGCATCACCAAGGAGCACAGAGCCCTGGGCTCTGTTTTTCAATTTTTGTCCTTCCTTTTTCAATTTTACATTAGCCCACCGTTGATTGTCTTTAACCTGCATGGCTGAACTGCCTAATTATCGTTATTATTTGACTGCCTATGCCTCATTTAAAAGCCCAATGGTAGAAGATCATATGCACCTAAGCAGATGTCACACACAGCATGCCGACTAGCTGACACATTCACACTGATAATGCTTGAAAATAACATACACCGTGATTCATGCTCATTAACCATCCAACACCCTGGATAATCTCATACGCAACACATATGGCCTAAGGCAACTGACACTATTATCCAAATTGCTCACACACCTACACAGCCCTAGAGGTCTCACTACCCACGTTTAAACTTTAAAAGCTTATAAGTTTACTCAAACTGTCTAATTTTACTCCATGTAGTTATCAGTAGGGATGTCACTAACATTATAGACAGTCCTACCAATCTGACCTCTTTAAAAAAAAAAAATTGTGCTGTTAATGCTTGTCATGTTACTGAATATCTTGTGTTACTCTATTGGCTTGGATATGCTTTTGTGGCACTATAAACATGTCTGTAATTCTAAGCACTACAAAAAAAAAGAATTAAAAAAAAAAAAAAAGAACATGGCAGCATTACTTGGGTTTGCAAAGTTGCATCTGAACAAACCACAAGACTTCTGGAACATCCTTTGGATAGATGAGACCAACATGGTGATGTTTGGCCATATTGCACAGCCCTGCTCCCTTCTTAATATTGAGTTATCTTGCATTTGTTATTCTTTTGCATTTATAATATATAATAATGCACTTGTATTTTCTTTAATTTGTGTATTTTCTGGTTTTCTTGCCATATGGGTTTCTTCCTATAGTGGTTGGTGCTGTGGTCAGCACCCCTTCCTGACAAAAACTTGACTATATAGAGAATATAGATAATGTCTATGCATAGCTCTAAGGATCTATCATATTTTTATTTATCTGGTTTTTATTTTAAACTAATCCTGACTCATTTCCAAGCTGCATGATTATCCTCCTTTAATTAAAATGTGCTTGCTGTATATTTTAAAGTACTTGAAGTAAATTCACACCAACTCCCTTATGGTCTTCAAAACTCTCTTTGGGCCAATAAATTTAGACATGTATTGGAATCATGTTGGAGATTATTATGGACAGTATGGATACAATTACAAATCACAGATAATTTGTTACAATGTTGGAAAGTTGCCATAGCAAATATAATCATATCAGTAAAATAAGAGTGGCAATTTCTTACTATAATGACATAATACTCTACTTCCTAATCAAACAACTTTTTTTTCTTAATTCTTTATGTAGTGATTTTAATTAATAATTAAAAATTAATAATTAAAAATAAATCATAATAATTGTAATATGTTAGAGGGGCCACTAGGTGCCATATGTGGGATTCATTTCCACAATATGGTTTTCTTATGTCATGTGCTTCTGGCAGTGCCAGCCTACTCTAGGGAAGTTAACACCCATAAAACATTCCACTGGGAATACAAAGCAGAGATGATAGAGATTCAGTATTTTTTCTGTGCCCAGGATGTAGACTAACAGCTCTGACCAAATGCTGGGAGCATGTGTAAGTTATATGTTGTAGTATGTTCATGTTCTGTATTGTATTGTACTGTAATTCATTGTTACTGCTATCATTTGCTATATCCTATTACTTTCTATATGTATTGTAGTAAATTGACATTTAATATTACAGTGTTTTGTGTATTTTGTATTGACATATTCAACCACAATACCAAGAACTATAACAATATTAATGTTGTAACTTACTGTTTAATTATTATATATTAATAAAAACATTACCATAATATTTAAGCCACAACACTCTCCTAATGCCAACAGCAAAGCAGTCAGGGCTGGTGCTTCCTGTAAGGTGACCTAAGCAGCTGCCTAGGGCGCAACTTAGAAGGGGGCTCCCTGCACCCGGAATGGTTCTTCGGCTCGGCAGTACTATATGGGCCGTCGGCGTGGTGCCCCTCATGATGTGCCACCTGAGCACTGTATAGCAAGCCTCCGGCTGCACAGCACTGCTGTATGGAGGGAGAGAGATGTGATCGCGGTGATGGCAGGGGCTCAGCTGCGCAAGTGCGCAACAGACCTGAGAGGCTGAGACAGTCATACAGCTGTCTCTCTGTGCTTACCTTCTTGCTGGAGCTCTGCAGGAAGCTCAAGGGCACACTGTGCACCTGTCCACTCCTCCCACCCTTGTGCACAGAGAGGGGGCGGAGTTGGACACGGAGGAAGGCCACTGAGCACTGAGAAGCCACCAGCATTGCCTGCTGGGAGTCTGTTTGGGACTGTGAAGGAAGTGGCCTGCTGAAAAGTAGCTACTTCCTGCTCACACTGTGCATTGGTGTCTGTCCCCAGAGAGTCTATACTAAGCCTGTATTACACCAATCAAGAGGAGCCAGACTGCAGCCAGAGACCATCATCTTCTTGTCCTCATCTGGTGGTAAGTAGGCAATCCAATGTTATTATTATTATTTACTTAGTATTATTACATAGGACACTAATCTCTAATTTACATCACATTAAAAGGACACTATAGTCCCGGAACCACTACAGTTTAACCCCTTAAGGACCGAGGACGGTTCAGGACCGTCATCGGCATTTTTGCCTTGCCGACCGATGACGGTCCTGAACCGTCCTAACGGTCTGGGGGTACTTACCTGATCGCCGTCGTTCCCCCAGCGGCGATCAGTGTTCCTCCGGTTGTGGGGAGACTGCCTGCAGCCCAGACAGTCTCCCCACGGCAGATTAGGACCCCTGTGGCCATGTGATCGCTCAACACAGCGATCACATGGTCACAATAGGTGTCCATGTGTCTGCCTGCAGGGGGACTGTCTGTGCTGACAGGCAGTCTCCCTGCTTGTGTAAAATCAGAAAAAAAAAATAAAGTTAGTGTTAATTAAAAAAATAAAAATAATTATATATGTGTATATATGATATATAGACATATATTATACCTATATAATATATGTCTATATATCATATATATATAATGTCATACTAAGTGTATTTTTATATTAATGTGTACTTATATTAATATAAAAATACACTTATAATTAAATTACACACGTATATATATAATATATATAATAACTATATATATTGTATATATATATTATTATAAAATATAAATAATAAGTAATTTAAATTAAATAAAAAATTTTTAAATAATAATAAAAAATTAAAAAAAAATTATATAGCTATATGAAATTTTATTCTAACTGTATTTTAAAATTAATATATATATATTTATATCAAAATACACTTAGAATGAATTTGTATATATATCTATGTATATAAAAATAAATAAAAATAATAAGAAATATACATACGTCCATATACAAAATTACATAAATAATTATATAAATATACACGTAGACTTCAAATATATAAATATGCAGATATATTTAAATTCTACGTGCGTATTTATGTAATATTTTTACATAATTCAGTAATTTTATTGATTGCAATTTGAGGGACCTGCCTGCCAACCCAGGCCGAAATTCCAGAGAATTTAATTTGCTAGCACTGTATTTTACCCTGTAACGTTCTACGACACCCTAAAACCTGTACATGGGGGGTACTGTTTTACTCGGGAGACTTCGCTGAACACAAATATTAGTGATTCACAACAGTAAAACATATCACAGCGATGATATTGTCAGTGAAAGTTACTTTTTTTGCATTTTTCACACACAAACAGCACTTTTACTGATGATATAATTGTTGTGATACGTTTTCCAGTTTTTAAACACTAATATTTGTGTTCAGCGATGTCTCCCGAGTAAAACAGTACCCCCCATGTACAGGTTTTATAGCATTTTTGAAAGTTACAAGGTCAAATATATGGGTCAAATATTTTTACATTGAAAATGGCCAGGTTGGTTACGTTGCCTTTGAGAGCGTATGGTAGCCCAGGAATGAGAATTACCCCCATGATGGCATACCATTTGCAAAAGAAGACAACCCAAGGTATTGCAAATGGGGTATGTCCAGTCTTTTTTAGTAACCACTTGGTCACAAACACTGGCCAAAATTAGCGTTCAATTTTGTTTTTTTACTTTTTTCACACACAAACAAATATGAATGCTTACTTTGGCCAGTGTTTTCGACTAAGTGGCTACTAAAAAAGACTGGACATACCCCATATTGAATACCCTGGGTTGTCTACTTTAAAAAAAATATGTACATGTGGGGTGTTATTCAGAGATTTATGACAGATAATAGTGTTACAATGTCACTATTGATAAATTTTAAAAATGTATGTTTTGAAACCGCAATATCCTACTTGTACCTATAGCCCTATAACATGCAAAAAAAAGCAAAAAAGCACATAAACACTAGGTATTTTTAAACTCAGGACAAAATTTTGAATCTATTTAGCAGTTTTTTTCATTCGCTTTTGTAGATGAGTAAAAGATTTTTCAAGTAAAAGTCAAAAAACATGTATTTTTTTCAATTTTTCATCATATTTTTTTATTTTTTTTAAATTAAAATACATGAGATTATATAAATAATGGTATGTAAAGAAAGCCCCTTTTGTCCTGAAAAAAACAATATATAATTTGTATGGGAACAGTAAATGAGAAAGCGGAAAATTACAGCCAAACACAAACACCACAAAAGTGTAAAAATATTCCTGGTCGCAAATGTACAACATCGCAAAAACAGTCCAGTCCTTAAGGGGTTAATGTAGCGGTTCTGGTGTCTATAGCCTGTCACTGCAGGCTTTTAAAGGTAAACACTGTCTTTTCAGAGAAAAGACACTGTGTGCAGCACTGGTGTTAAGCATCTCCACGCCCTGCATGGAGGAGCTTATCATTCCCATATAGATGTATTGATTAATTGCATCTGTATGAGGAGATGCTGATGGGCGCAGTGTTTTGCTGCACATGCAAAAATAGCCTCCCAATGCTTACCTATAGGCGGAGATCAATGAGGCATGGGAAAAACATGAGTAAAATCACTTTATTACTACATTGGAGGGGGGCTGCGCTAACATAACAGGATACAGATTTGTGTTCCTGACGCTATAGTGTTCCTTTAAGCTGCTCCCTACCTCCACTACATCAACCACCACACTCAGACTCGCCTAATGCAAAAATCTTCTGGCTCTTGGCTGATGTAGTGAAGGTAGAGCCAGGTAAGGTAAGAACTCAAACAGCTCTAATACAGTTTGACGACTTATATGGGAGTGTGTCAGACCACTATGCTTTGTAGTGGTAATGCTGCATAAAAAATGTCTCTTAATTCATAAAAGTGTGAAATGTTGGGAAAGTGATGGAAACCACATTAAAGGATAGGATTGATGAACGTCTAAAAACACATGGATTTCAAGATCAGAGACAACATGGGTTTACTTCAGTTGCTTAAAGAGAAGGTTTACATCAACCCACTATAGATGACACCTTGGAAATGGTGAAGTGCATGTTAGAAAGTGGCTTAGTTAGTCTCCTAGATTGGACAAAATGTTTTGCTTTTGTTGTAAACTCTTTACAACTACTCAAATGAGCCTGACAATGGTAAGCTACAATGATTGGAAACATTTGTCCCAGTGTCTGGCTACACATGAAATGTCCCCATCTCACTTCACTGCTATTAGGGGGCAGGACATAACTGTAAACAAGGCTTGGGACAGGAACAAGTATTGACCATTCATACCAAAGATTACTGGCAACTGGAACGCAGCGCAGAATGTTCTTCAGTGCCTTGTAACCATTGTGCAATACCTTGGGAAGTAGTGCATGGCCTTCAGTGGCAGCAGTGACATGCTGTACTCTGAAAACAATGGAAATTACTTGCAACTTGTAGAAATGCAAGCAACATTTGATAGTGTGATGCAAAACCACTTGAAAAAGATAGAACATTCATAAATGTATCTGCATTATTTAGGAAAAGACATTCAAAATGAACTAATTGGTTTAATTTCAAAAGAAATATGGAGATGCATTCTGTGGTTGCTTAAGTATGCCAAGTATTATTCCATTGTACTTTACTGTACCCCTGACATCACTTTTGTTGAACAGATGACTATGATTGTTAGGTTTGTATCAGTTAAGCAAGGAGACTCACCAACTGCAAATCCTGAAATACACATTGAGGAAAGTTTCCTTGGTTTCCTGCCAGTTTACAACTTATCAGGAGTAGGATTAACATAGGCTATTTTGCATGAGCTTGAAATGCTAAAGATACCTCTCAGTGATATGAGAGATCAGGGGTATGATAATGGCTCCAACATGAAGGGCAAGCACTCAGGAGTAGAGTTGAGCGGATACCTGGATGTTCAGGTCAGGCAGGTTCAGCAGAACTTTGAAAAAAAGTCCGGGTTCGGGCTCGAACTTGACCCCGAACTTGACCCCGAACTTGACCCGGAATCCGAACCCAATTGAAGTCAATGGGGACCCAAACTTTTGGCCACAAAAATGCCTCTAAAAACTCCTGGAAAGGGCTAGAAAGGTGCAAAAGGAAGTTAGATTAAAAACAAAAGAAGGAAGGTATGTAGAAGAGGATAAAGGTCTAGCTGACTGCCTCAATGAATATTTTTGTTCTGTATTTACAGATGAAAATGAAGGAAAGGGAGCTCAGTTGAGAAAAAGGATAAATTAGTCATTTATTACACGCGAGTTTACAGAGGAAGAGGTTCTATTTCAACTGTCAAAAGTAAAGACAAATAAGTCAATGGGACCTGATGGAATACCCCCAAAGCTATTAAAAGAGCTTAGTGGTGTACTAGCAAAACCATTAACAGATTTATTTAACCAATCATTGTTAACAGGAGTAGTCCCAGAAGATTGGAAGTTAGCGAATGTTGTGCCCATTTACAAGAAAGGTAATAAGGAGGGGTCGGGCAACTATAGGCCAGTAAGCCTTACTTCAGTAGTGGGAAAAGTAATGGAAACCATGTTAAAGGATAGGATTGATGAACATCTAAAAACACATGGATTTTAAGATCAGAGACAACATGGGTTTACTTCAGGGAGATCATGCCAAACTAATCTTATTGATTGTTTTGATTGGGTAACTAAAATTATAGATCAGAGTGGTGCAGTAGACATTGCTTACCTAGATTTCAGTAAGGCTTTTGACACTGTTGCACATAGAAGGCTTATCAATAAACTGCAATCTTTAAGTTTGGATTCCAATATTGTTGAATGGGTAAGGCAGTGGCTGAGTGACAGGCAACAGAGGGTTGTAGTTAATGGAATATATTCGAAGCTTGGACTTGTCACCAGTGGGGTACCTCAGGGATCTGTACTTGGACCCATTCTCTTTAATATTTTTATTAGTGATATTGCAGAAGGTCTTGATGGTAAGGTATGTCTTTTTGCTGATGATACTAAGATATGTAACAGGGTTGATGTTCCAGGAGGGATAAGCCAAATGGCAAATGATTTAGGTAAACTAGAAAAATGGTCAGAATTGTGGCAACTGACATTTAATGTGGATAAGTGCAAGATAATGCAGAGTACAGAATATTTGATAGAGTCCTAACCTCAACATATGAGGAAAGGGATTTAGGGGTGATTATTTCTGATGACTTAAAGGTAGGCAGACAATGTAATAGAGCAGCAGGAAATGCTAGCAGAATGCTTGGTTGTATAGGGAGAGGTATTAGCAGTAGGAAGAGGGAAGTGCTCATGCCATTGTACAGAACACTGGTGAGACCTCACTTGGAGTATTGTACACAGTACTGGAGACCGTATCTTCAGAAGGATATTGATACCTTAGAGAGGGTTCAGAGAAGGGCTACTAAACTGGTTCATGGATTGCGGGATAAAACTTACCAGGAAAGGTTAAAGGATCTTAACATGTATAGCTTGGAGGAAAGACGAGACAGGGGGGATATGATAGAAACATTTAAATATATAAAGGGAATCAACACAGTAAAGGAGGAGACTATATTTAAAAGAAGAAAAACTACCACAACAAGAGGACATAGTCTTAAATTAGAGGGACAAAGGTTTAAAAATAATATCAGGAAGTATTACTTTACTGAGAGGGTAGTGGATGCATGGAATAGCCTTCCAGCTGAAGTGGTAGAGGTTAATACAGTAAAGGAGTTTAAGCATGTGTGGGATAGACATAAGGCTATCCTAACTATAAGATAGGGCCAGGGACTAATGAAAGTATTTTGAAAATTGGGCAGACTAGATGGGCCAGATGGTTCTTATCTGCCGTCACATTCTATGTATGCTGCCCGAATACCAATTGTTGTTCTCACATTACTTTCACTATATTTTACCATATGTGAATTTGTTGTTATACATATATGTAATACCTTATTTGTAAGGTATCCTCATTTGTAAAAAGAAATAAAAGAAATAAATCTGGGATAAATAAATAAAGGTTTAAAATGAATTTTAAATGTAATCCTTTAAGCACCAAACTTCAGTTTGCTTATTTTTTGCTTGAGAACAAAAGCAGTTTAGGTATATTTACTATGTGTGTGTTCAACCACTATGTCCATATTCCTCATTTAGTGCACCAACACATATTGGTAAAATTCCAGATAGTGGACTGAAATGTTGACTACAATGTTTATTAGTCGATGTATAGAAGTAAAGGCAGCACTGCAGGCAATTGAAAATAAGTCCATTGAGTGCACTTTTAGTTTTTTGTTTTGTGTATGTGACAGAAGTTGCACTGTGGCCACAAATATACGTAGGCGTTGAGTGCAGAACTTTTCTCGATTTTAATATGTATGGGACTCAACCATGTTCCAGCCAGTATATTTTTGAAATTTGCATTGAGTGTTTGACTATGCGATCGAAGGTTTGACTTCAGTGCAAATGATGATAATAATGCAACAATTATTGTAAATAAAACACTAATTTCTACATTGGTTTGTGGCCGTCATTTCTTTAATATTGAGCTTGTTTACACTTGATAGCAGTGTATATTGTTCTAATTGATAATCTGCCTATAACTAGTTATTTTTACAAAGCTCTGGATAAGGGTGCCATGTAATAAAATATTAAATTAATAAATGCTTTTTCTTTACAGACTGTCTTACAGGATTTGTAAATACAATGACTGACATTATTTGGAGATTTACTGGTGATTTCATGGCCCCAGACTTTGTCTGCAAAATTGTGCGCTACATGCAGGTAAGCAACGTGTATGAAATTATTAATATAATAAACTGTGCAGTATATAAAGGACCACTAAAGGCATCCAGACTCTTTAACTCAATAAAGTGGTCTGGGTACAGTGACCCTTTAGTTTTTAGCCCTTCAATATAAAACATTGCTGTTTAGACATGCCTCTAGGGGCTGTCTTCTTTCCATGAGGAAATCGAACATCCTCAAATGCAGTTCACACTAAAAGCATTTTTTTGGGCTCACTGTGCACACTCGTCTTTACCACCGCTCAGAGTTACCATATTAACCATGTCTCCAGGGATACATATCATATATACATATTGATGGGTAGCACATGAAAATGGTTGTCCTGTAGTATGTAGAGTTCACAAGAAGGTGATGAGGCAATAAAGAATCCTGCAGGGCAACCCTTTGAATGCGTTTTCATATGACAAAATTATATATGTCCCTGAAAACATGGTGGGACATTGGATTTATTGATAATTGTGGAAGCTTTAGGTGGCATATTTTAAATTAGATATTTTTGGTACCATGGGTGGGGGAGGGGGAATCCCCACTGTCTGTTATTTTACAGGCTTAATCCCCATGGGATAGGGCCTTTTGAGTGACAGATGTGTTTTGAGGGGGGGGGCATAATGGAGATCTACATCCTCCCTTATACTAATATATACTGTAATAACTATAACAGTAGAGATCAGATGTGTTTGTAGGGGAAAGCAGAGCACATAGTTAAGCATTCTCAGCCAATGAGCTTGGTCCTGCATGACTGTTCTCTGCTCGAATGAGCATCCAGATTATCCTGCTTGAGAAAGCCAGGTGCAGTAATTGCACCAAAGTAAGTTGTCAGACCATACACATGTGGGGTGGCTCCAGAGCATTTCTGGCACCATAACCACTATAGTTACATAGCTGAAAAGAGACTTGCGTCCATCAAGTTCAGCCTTCCTCACATATGTTTTTGCTGTTGATCCAAAAGAAGGCACAAAACCTAGTCTAAAATGCTTCTAATTTTGCAACAAACTAGGAAAAAATTCCTTCTTGACCCCAAAATAGCAGTCCGATGTCTCCTTGGATCAAGCAGCTATTACCCCACTAATTAGAAATTATATCCCTGAATGTTATGTTTTTGCAAGTATTTATCCAATTGTAGTCTAAACATTTCGGTATAAACCCTGACAAAACCACCTCTTCAGGCAGAGAATTCCATATCCAGTTACAAATGCAGTGGCCAAAAACAGTATAGTAAAGATATGTGGGGAATAATTTAAATTGCAAACCTTAGTATGTGAATTAAAAAGCAGAATTTATTGTATTCCAGCCAAGTAGTTTACATAATTTTAAAAAACATATATATCAAATAGTGCACTGTTATTTTAATGAAAAAAACATGAAAAAAATAAGCATGATGTCAAACAGTCATTCAAAAAAGTCTGGGCTAAAAACATCTAATGTTTCTTATTTAATTAGCTCTAACACTTGTAAAAGCTAATACTAATTTTCAAATCTACATTTATTGGATTATAAATTAATGTTATGTGTTTTTTGTTTGTTTTTTTTAAATTCTTTATGTCATTCCACATGAGAGCAAATCAGCAGTAGACATGATAAATTGCAAGACACAAACAGTTAAAGATGTCAACATATCAGCAACATTTGAAAATATGTGGAATACTTTATTTGTCAGTAAAGAGTGAAACAAAGGGGAACAACATATGATAGCTAACTGACATTTTCCTCAGGGGTTATTGCTTTAAAATGCTATTCCTCCATGAGGTGTGCCCCTCCCGGCTCTACAATGGTGGGCAGAGTATACGCTAAAAGAAAACCAGGATGGGGGGTGATATGTAGGAGCCAAACACATATCAAAGCTGCAGCAGGACAGCTTAATAGGTAATACTCAATAAGCAAGCAATTCTATTCACTAACTATGTATGCACAATGTAAACAGAAAAATAATGAGATAAATAAACATAAAATCAGCAGCCTTGGGTGATAGTCAAACATTTCGTTCTTGGACAGGTGATAGAACGTTTCAGTGGCGACCGTTCAGGTCTGAGGATGTGAAAGCATTGGACGCTGAGCCGCTCAGGTATGAACTCTGGTACAGTGAAAGGGTCTAAGCCAGACAGGCCCATATCTTCCACCCAATTAACGTAGGTGGACCTCGAGTTCCATGTGGCTTTGTGTTGTATAGGTATTTCCCATGTGGGTATGTAGGAGCTGTTTAGGCAGTCCCCACATGTATTGAATGACCTTTGCACAAAGTTGCCGACAGAGTTTTTGCAGGGTTCTGCGTCAGCCAAGGGAGCTTCTAATGAGTTTCGGGAACAAAGCCAGCATCGAGCCCTCAAATATTAAGTTGGTCTTGCCAGGGGCCGACAAAAGTAGGCCCTTATCTTGTAGAGATTGAATGTGTCGGCCATAATGTTGGCCCTCTGTTCAGCAAACAGGGTTTTGAGCTGGTTTGCAGTGACTGTCTCGTTGGCAGTGGGTTGCCTGGGCTTGGGGGCAACGAAGCCTCAGCATTCGGTTCAAATGGGTTATTCTCCGAGTAGTAGGAAGAGCCCTCGTACACCATCACCATTTTTTCCCATACTGCCAATTGCAATTTCTGCAGGAGTTTCTCGATATCTCGTAAAGAAGGGCCGTTGTCGGCTTTTGGTTTTTTTTATGCTTGCATCCCATTTCACCCTCTTGAAGTCAGAGCGGAAAAGGTCAGCTGGTAATAGATTTTCCAATCCTAATTTGTAGTATTTACTAGTTTAGGGCCCATAGCTCAAGAGAGTGTGACTTCTCCCTTCCTCAGTTGGCTCCGCCCTAATGTTATGAGTTTTAACACAAGTGGTTGAGTTATAGAGCCTTTTCCAGTTCTATTGCCTTTTGCAACTTTAGTTCCCTGGGTTATGCTTCATTTACTCTGCAATTTCACAATGATCCCTATCTGATAACTGGGTTATTTAAAAAAATATATATATATTTATTTGTACTGGCAGTCAGTTCAGTGTCCAGACATTACATATTATACATGTTGATGAATCAGGTTTTTATGTTAAACAACTGTACATGCATGGTTATTTATGGTTGGTCATACATACATACATAGTTGTATTCGGCTGTGGAGTCCCCTGCTCCGACCGTCACAGATTTAAAAATGTTTTAACATGGGGTAATCTGTACATTGGTACAGAAAAGAATAAGAAAGTTATAGTTACATCATCTATTTTGTAGTAAATGGGGTTCCCCCTTCAATATAAACAATATTGACTTTTTACATCTTTGCCATTAGAGGGCATATGGACCCAGACCTTATCTCAACCCACTATGTCGACTGGTGGGGTTGAGGTGGTGGGCACGATAGGATGTCTAGAGGGAAGAATTATTGGTTTTGAGGGGGAAGTGGTGGGGGGGGGTGTGGAGGTCATCCAGAGTAGTTTTGGTTTTGTTGCCCTTGGCTGGCCCAATAGGGGGGTCACAGTGGTCATCCTGCCGTTTATATTAAGGTGTAGAGGCATGCACCTTATGTAACTAGTTCATCAGGTTGTTCCGTGTTCCCCCAAATTCTCTTCGCCAGGGTGGTGTTTGGTATCTGTGTTTTTAGTGGTCTCATTCAGGGGGTGCCAGTGGTCATACTATTGTTGCTACCTTTATATTATGGAGTGCCCCTTATGTAGAATTGTCCAAATGTTATCCCCTGAATTCCCCATGTTCTCTTTCCATTTGTTTTACAGAGGTCGTGTTGATCATTGTCATACCTCCTTGCGGCCCGTGCCGCTCCGGTCCCGTCATCCTTCCTGCTCCGCGCTGTTTCCAACAGGGGTGTGCGCGGCTTGTCCCGAAATGCTTAAAGGGATAGTACCCAATTATTGCTCTCTATTTATATTCTACCCTATTCTATCCCTAACCTATCAGATCTCACCTAGCCCTATTTATACCACCTTCTTACATTGCTTCCTTGCCCTGTTGTGGTTTCTTGTAGCCCGAGAGTGCGTTCTGTTAACTTGTGTTTCTTTCTTATCTCTGTCTTCCTTGACCTTTGGCTTTGTTTTCTGCTTACGCTTCCTGCTCTAACCCTGACTTTGGCTTGTCTGACGTTCCTATATTGTATTTTTCTTCACGTTAAGTCTGGCCATTTTAAGGACCGATAATACGTTTATCTGGGGTTGCCTCTCTTGTCCTTTAGTTTGCGTGTTGGGGAGTTCAACCTTGACATCACGACAGGGCCATGGACCCTGCAAACTTGGGGCAACAAATTGCAGCTTGCGAAAATAGAATGGAGGGTTTAGATCGTAGGATGGATCAGTTTGCCCAAGCTTTGCAAACCATCCTTACTAGAACTGCTTGCCTCCAGCAAGAGGCGGACATGAACAGTGCTCAAGGTGCTGTTTCCTTACTATCCACGTCCCATCCTACACCTTCCATTCGTCTCTCCCCTCCTCCCTGTTACTCCGGGGATCCGCCTTTATGCAGGGGCTTTTTGAACCAGTGGGGGTACATTTTGAAATGGCTCCCAATTCATTTCCCACTGACAGGTCCAAGATAGCAAACCATCCTTACTAGATTATGAACATATTAGATGATAAAGCTTTATCTTGGATAAATCCTTTGTGGGAGAATGATGATATAATTGTATTTAATCTTGAGCTATTTCGCAGGACTTTCAGGAATGTGTTCAGTCCTCCAAGCAGAAAGAGATTAGCTGACAAGGCTTTATTGAAAATAAAACAGGGTTCTAGATCTGTGGCCGACTATGCCATTGCGTTCCGTACGTTAGTCTCTGAGGTAACCTGGAATAATAGTGCCCTGACAGCTGTTTTTTTTTTTGAGGGACTTACTGAATCCTTACAAGATGAGGTGGCAGCTAGAGATCTTCCAGAGCTCCTCGAGAATTTGATACAATACATGTCAGACATAGATGTAAGGGTCAGGCAGAAGCATCTTCATCTAGATAGGCAAAGAAGGGCTTTAGGGTGAACTGCTCCTCGTCCTATGGTAACCGGATTTCCAGCCTTACCGGCAATTAGGTACTACCAGACTCTCTGAGGCTGAAAAGTCTTACAGAAGGAGGGAAGGGTTGTGCCTATATTGTGACAATAAAGGGCATTTACGTAACAACTGCCCATCTCGCCCGGAAAACTCCACCGCCTAAGCTCGTTCAGGGGACTGGCCTTGGGTGTAATATCTCTGTCCCCTAAAACAGTTCCACACAGGTGTCTTATAACTGTAACCTTTATTGGGGAAAGTTTTGTCACCAAACTATGGCCCTCATTGACTCTGGTTCAGCTGACAACTTTATTGACCAGGCATTTTCATCATCCATTTCTCTTCCTTTGGAAGAGAGAAAAACACCCTTGACCGTTGAGGCCATAGATGGTAGACTTTTAACAGTCCCGTATGTGACACACCAAACGGAAGCTGTTATTGTAATGGTGGGTGCAACACATCAAGAAAATTTGTCATTTCAAGTCGTTTCTTCTCCTTCTTGTCCCCTAGTTCTTGGTTTTCCCTGGTTACAAAAACACAACCCTATTCTTGATTGGAGAGAAAGACAGGTTTTGTCTTGGAGCCTCTCCTGTGAACTTACTTGCATAAATCATGTTAGACCTCTCTGCTCTCTTAATGTTCCTACATCCCCTCCTCTATCCACTATTATACCACCTCAATACCAGGATCTTAAGAAAGTGTTTGATAAAGTGGAGGCAGACCGTCTTCCTCCTCACAGACACTACGATTGTGCCATCAAGCTTCTTCCTGGCACTATGCCACCCAAGGGGAGAGTATACCCTCGATCTCAAATTGAGAATAAGGTTATGGAGGAGTACATACAAGAATCTCTAAAAAAGGGATTTATTAGATGTTCTTCTTCTCCAGCAGGGGCAGGCTTCTTTTTTGTTTCTAAAAAAGAGGGGGATCTTCGCACATGTATACCCTTGATAACAGAACTTTTTGACAAGCTTCGTGGTTCTAAAATATTTACCAAACTAGATCTTAGAGGAGCATACAATCTTGTTCGCATCAAAGAGGGAGATGAGTGGATGATGGCATTCAACACCCGAAGTGGCCATTATGAAAACACTGTTATGCACTTCGGTCTGTGTAAGGCTCCTGCCGTCTTCCAAGATCTCATCAATGATGTTTTAAGGAACTATTTACACACTTGTGCTATTGTATATCTCGACGATATACTCATTCACTCTCCTGATATACAAACTCCTCACATACAGATCAGAAACATATAACAGACACTTCTTGCCAATGGCTTGTATTGTAAACTCGAGAAAATGTTTATTTGATCAAACATCCATTCACTTTTTGGGTTACATAATATCTGCTAAAGGGTTTCAAATGGACCCTAAAAAACTGTCTTCCATTCTTGAATGGCCTTTACCCATTGGACTAAAGTCCATACAGAGATTCATTGGGTTTGCTAATTATTATAGACAGTTCATCAAAAACTTTTCTCAGATCTTAGCTCCAATTACTGCTATGACAAAAAAGGGAGAGGATCACATCTATTGGTCTATGGACGCTAAGGCCTCCTTCTCTCGCTTTAAGAAAGCTTTTGCATCTGCTCCTGTCCTAGTACATCCAAATCCTTATAGACCCTTGATCTTTGAAGTAAATGCCTCCGAACCCAGTGTGGGAGCTATCCTTTCCCAGAGTGAGTCTCCAACCGCTCTATGCATCCTTGCAGGTTCTTTTCTCATAAATTAACACCTGCAGAAAAGAATGATATAGGTAATAGAGAATAATTGGCTAAAACCTTAGCTCTTAAAGAATGGCGTCACTTACTTGAAGGTTCTTCCATACCTCTTATGGTTCTTACTGATCATAAGAATTCATCATATCTGAGTGACGCCAAAAAACTTTCTTCCAGACAGGCACGCTGGGCTTTTTTTCTTTCCCGTTTTAATTATCTGATCTCATATCGACCAGGGAATCGTAATACCAAAGCCGATTCACTCTCCAGACAATTTGCCACTCTCGATAAGGAGGAGGAAATAACTGAACCCATTATACTCTCTGAGAGAATTATTGCTGTAACTAGAACCAGAGTTTCCTCTCCCCTTCTGCACAAAATTCAAAAGGCTCAAGATAGGGTGCCTGTTGACAAACCTGCTGAGAAATATTTTGTTCTTCTTAATTTAAGAGGAGAAGTATTTTGCCACTACCATGATAGTAAAATGGCTGGACACATGGGGGTGTCCAAAACTATTGATTTAATCGCCCGGCAGTATTGGTGGCCCTCCCTCAGGAAGGACGTACAAAACTATGTATCATCTTGTGATGTATGTTCTCAGTCCAAACCTTCTCATCAAGTACCATGTGGTCTTCTGCATCCTCTTCCTCTGCCATCTGTTCCATGGTCACAATTATCTATGGATTTTATTGTAGAACTGCCACCATCGAAAGGTTTTACTGTTATTTTGGTTGTAGTAGATCATTTCTCTAAGATGGCACACTTAATTTCATTAAAAAAAGTTACCGTCTTCTGCTGAATTAGCTAACATATTCTCTAAGGAAATAATACGTCTACACAGTATGCCTGACATAATCGTGTCTGATAGGGGCTCAAAATTTATCTTGACGTTTTGGAGGGGCTTTTGCAAAGACATGGGTATTGAGCTCGCCTTCTCCTCTGCTTATCATCCACAGACTAATGGTGCTACTGAAAGGACTAATTAAAGCCTTGAGCAATATCTCCGCTGCTTTACGTCTCAACTCCAAGACAACTGGGCTGACCTTCTTCCCTGGGCTGAATTTGCCAGAAATAATGCCAAACATTCTGCCTCTGGCCACAGTCCCTTCTTCATCACGTACGGCAAAGGGATGCCAGTTCTGGATAAGCACTTGTCTACCATACAGGAAACTTGGAGAAGGGTTCATGCCATCTTGGAGAAGACTACTCTTACTCAGAAATCCTTTGCTGATAGGCACCGTAGATCAGCACCTTCTTATGTTACGGGTGATAGGGTCTGGTTGTCTACACGTAAGATCCATTTATGTGTCCCCTCCATGAAACTAGCTCCTAAATATATTGGCCCCTACAAGGTTCTACGAAGGATCAATCCTGTGTCCTACGCTTTGGATTTACCCAGGAATCTTCGTATACCCAACGTCTTCCACACCTCTCTCCTGAAACCGTTGGTTTGCAACAGTCATTCTAGACCCCGTTCTCGTCCTCCTCCTGTTTTAGTCCATGGTCAGCAGGAGTACAAGATCCGACACCTCATCGATTCTCGTGGATCGCTTCAATCAGGGCTGCCATCAGAAATTTTGAGGCCCCTGACACAGCTCAAGGTCTGGGTCCCCCGGTGCCTGCTCCCGAGTCCGCCCAAAGTGCTGCCCCTCACCGAGTCCGCCCACAGGAATGCAGTGTCTGCAAGGCCGGTGCAAGGATTTTTGCCGCCCTAGGCAAAAGTAAAGTTTGCCGCCCCCCCCGTGTGACATCACAATGCCCCACCCATATGATCTGCCATGTTAACTAACACCAGTGCTGCAGTGCCGCCGTGTTTACATTAAAAGGCCTGCAGGGACAGGCTACGCACCAGAACCACTACATTAAGCTGTAGTGGTTCTGGGGACTATAGTGTCCCTTTAATGTGAGGTAAATTAGAGATTAGTGCCACAAATAATATACTAGATTGCCTACTTACAACCAGATGAGGATGATGATGGGCTCTAGCTGCCGTCTGGCTCCACTGGTCTGGTGTAGAACAGGCTCTCTGGAGGCTGTTTGTAACTGTGGTCACAAAAATCAATGTTCTGGGATCAGCTCCATTTTTTTGAGGGTCCTTTACACAGCTCAAGGTCTGGGTCCCAGGGTCCACCTTCATGTTCCACCAATGAGTTTGTTCACAGGGGGTGGAGTGTGTGTGGGGGGATGTCCTGATGTGTGTAAGGAATGCATTGTGTGAATCTGTGTTTGTATGTGTAAGGGCTGCAAGGTGAGTTTGTGTATGTATGGGATGCAGTGTGTGAATCTGTAAGGGATGCATTGTGTGTTGCTGTGTGTAAAGGATGCATTGCATTGTGTGTTTTTCTGTGTGCAATGGGTGCATTGTGTGTGTGTGTGATGGATGTCAATCTCTCCCCCTCCCCCCGCCAATTTCCTTCTCCCCCTCCAATTTCCTTCTTCTCCCCCTCCCACCCTCTCTCCAATTTCCTTATTTTCCCCCCTCTCCAATTTCTCCCTCTCCAATTTCCTTCTTCTCCACCACCCTCCAATTTCCTTCTTCTCCCCCTCCAATTTCCTTCCTTTCCCCCTCCCTCTCATTTCCTTCTCCCCTTCAATTTCCTTCTTCTCCCCCCTCCAACTTCCTTCTTCTTCCCCCTTCCTCCTCTTCTCCCTCCCCTCCTCATCAATTTCCTTCTCCCCCCCTCAATTTCCTTCCTCCCCCACTCAGTTTCCTTTCCCTTTCCTTCCTCTCCCCCCTCCATGTCCTTCCCACCTCAAATTTCCTTCCTCCCTCCCTAAATTTCCTTCCTCCCCAAATTTCCTTCCTTTCCCCTCCCTCTCAGCCTCCCTCAAATTTTCCTTCCTCTCCCTCCTCAAATTTCCTTCCTCACCCCCCCCTCCCCAATTTACTTCCTCCCCTCAATTTCCTTCCCTCGCCCTCCAATTTCCTTCCTCTCCCGACCTCAAATTTCTTCCTTTCCCCTCCCTCAAATTTCGCCTCTCTCCCCCCTCCTCTCCTTTTCCTCCCCCCTCAAATTTCCTTCCTCCCCCCCTGGGGGAATTTCCTTCTCCTTCTCCCCCCTCCAATTTCCTTCCTCTCCCCCCCTAATTTCCTTCCTTCTCCCCCCTCTCCAGACTTCCTTCTCCCCCCTCAAATTTTCTTCCCCCCCTCCCCCAAATTTCCTTCCTTCCCCTCCCAAATTTCTCTTTCCTTTCCCCTCCCTCCCTCAAATTTCCTTCCTCCCCCCCTCAATTTCCTTCCCCTCCCTCCCTCAAATTTCCTTCCTCCCCCTCAAATTTCCTTCCTCTCCCCCCCTCCCTCAAATTTCCTTCCTCCCCCCCTCAAATTCCTTCCTCTCCCCCCTCAATTCCCTCCCCTCCAATTTCCCTCCCCTCAGAACAACTTCTCCGTTCCTTCCTCTCCCCCTCCTCAAATTTCCTTCCTCTCCCCCCTCCTCAAATTTCCTTCCTCTCCCCCCCTCAAATTTCCTTCCTCCCTCAAATTTCCTTCCTCTCCCCTCCAATTTCCTTCCTCCCCCTCCCCAAGTTTCCTTCCCTCCCCCCCTCAGTTCCTTCCTCCCCCCTTAAATTTCCTTCACTCTCCCTCCTCCCTCCTCTCCCCCTTAAATTTCCTTCCTCTCCCCCTCCCTTAAATTTCTTTCCTCTCCCCCCCTAAAATTTCCTTCCTCTCCCTCCCTCCTACCTCAAATTTCCTTCCTCTCCCCCTGACACACGGCCGACGCACGAGGGAGCACTCTCCCTGGCTGAGTACTTAGTCTTCAGCTCCCTCGTGCGCCGCGTACTGATGCCGGCGCCGGAAGATGATGTCATCTTCCGGCTCCGACATCAGTGCGGTGCGCGAGGGAGCTGAAGAGGAAGTACACAGCCAGGGAGAGTGCTCCCTCGCGCGTGCACCCGCCCGCCGGGTTTCAGCAGGGCCAGCCTCTGGGTGCCCTGAGGTGACCGGCTGCTGAGCCCCCCAGGAGAAGAGGCTGGCCCAGTGGGTACATACCGGGGTCGCAGGGCCCCCTGCGACCGGGTATGTACACCACTGAATGTGGTGCGCGGACGACCTGAGCAGTCCGGGCCCATGGCAACCGTTACGGTTGTCATGCCCTGATGGCGGCCCTGGCTTCAATACTTGGTCCATTGGAGGGGTTATGGACCTGAAGAACGCTCTTGGGTTCCTGCTTCTGATGTTCATGCGCCCCGACTTCTTCGTGCGTTACATGCTAGGTTTCCTTCTGGTGTTTCTCCAGTGGGCGTTCCTTCAGGGGGGGGGGTTTCTGTCATACCTCCTTGTGGCCCGCGCCTCTCTGGTCCCGTCGTCCTTCCTGCTCCGCCGGGCTGTGCGGACCTCTGGTCGGCGTTGCACGCTCGCTGTTTCCGACAGGGGTGTGCACGGCTTGTCCCGAAATGCTTAAAAGGATAGTACCCAGGTATTGCTCTCTATTTATATTCTACCTTATTCTATCCCTAACCTATTTATACCTCCTTCTTACATCACTTCCTTGCCCTGTCGTGGTTTCTTGTAGCCCGAGAGTGCATTCTGTTAACTTGTGTTTCTTTGGTATCTGACTTCGGCTTGTCTTCTGGTTATTCTTATCTCTGGCTTCCTTGACCTTTGGCTTTGTTTTCTGCTTACGCTTCCTGCTCTAACCCTGACTTTGGCTTGTCTGACATTCCTATATTGTATTTTTCTTCACGTTAAGTCCGGCCATTTTGAGGACCGGTAATACATTTATCTGGAGTTGCCTCTTGTCCTTTAGTTTGCGTGTTGGGGAGTTCAACCATGACAATCGCATGTTGTGGGGGGGGGGGAGAGGATAGGGGTGTTGCGGTGCCACTTGTGATCATTGTGTGTATCAGTAATTAAATGCTCCCTGTTTGTTTGTGTAAGCTTGGTAAGTGTCAGCAGCTTTGTCTTCCTCCTGCTGCCCTGTCCCAAGCCTTCTGTGATGGGAAGTGCGGTGTGGGGTTGGGGCTGGGGGGGGGAGAAAGTGGGAGAAGGTAGCGAGGGGGTGGAGGGGAGCTGGATGCCTTTCCTCCCACTGCAGGCCCAGACAGCGCACATAGGGCCCCCTGAAGTTTTTATTTCGTCCTTATTTGTGTGTGTACAGTTATTGACATATGTCTCCCAGGGCTGCCAAGTCTTTATAAAATGTTTCTCTGTGTTTCTAATCTGGGCATCAGTTTGTTCATCAGGTAGTTGTCTTTAATCTTTATGACTACTTCTTCTATTGTGGGTGTTCTTGAGCCAGGACTGTACCAGGGCTCGTCTGGCTGCTAGGGTGAGTTTAAGAGTTTTTTTGCTCCTTTGAGAGGAGTCAGTGGGTTTGGACAACAAAAAAGACCAAGGGTCCATATCTATCTGTCATTTAAATATGTTTGTTAGCAGGGTCTGGACCTGCGACCAAAATCAACTGACCTTTGGGCATGCCCACCAAATATGTATAAATGTGCCCTTGTCCCCACAGTCCTTCCAGCATGTATCAGTCGTGATTTTTCACATTCTGAATAATTTTACCAGGGTTGTATACCACCTCATCGGCATTTTATATAATTGTTCCTGTTGTAATACGCAGATAGATGTTTTGGCTGTTGCTTCCCAAATGTCTGCCCAGTCCTCTCCCTCTAGTGTCCGTCCTAGGTCATTTTCCCAGTTATGTAGCTAGGGTCATTGTCCCTCTCTGGGGCGCTAAGCTGTGTATACAGCATTGAAATTAGGCCCTTCTGAATGGTTTCTGTGATGCAGTTTCTCATGAAAGGTCATGAGATCTTGTGCAGCTTTGTCCACCATTAGGTCTCTAGCAAAGTCTTTTAGTTAAATATATAGAAAATAGTCTTTGGTTGTAAGGGGTGCTAACGTTTTGAGGTTTTTGAACGTTCTGAAGGTTTTGTTTTCAAACATTTGATAGTATTTTTGAATTCCAGTGGCCTGTCTGTCCTGGAATTCTTGTGCGCTCATCCGGGCTCAAACACCCCATTTCTCAGGTATGGAGTCAACGGGGAAATATGGAGTATGGAGTCCCCAATAAAGGAGTGGTTCTGTAGGTGGTGACCACAGACCACTTCTCAGTTCCTATGCTTCCTGGCTGATGTTTTGGTCACTTTTGAATGCTGGCGGTGCTTTCACTCTAGTGGTCGCATGAGACGGAGTCTACAACCCACACAAGTGACTCAGGTAGTGCAGCTCATCCAGGATGGCACATCAATGCGAGCTGTGGCAAGAAGATTTGCTGTGTCTGCCAGAGCATGGAGGCGCTACCAGGAGACAGGCCAGTACATCAGGAGACGTGGAGGAGGCCATAGGAGGGCAACAACTCAGCAGCAGGACCGCTACCTCTGCTTTTGTGCAAGGAGGAAAAGGAGGAGCACTGCCAGAGCCCTGCAAAATTACCTCCAGCAGGCCACAAATGTGCATGTGTCTGCTCAAACGGTCAGAAACAGACTCCATGAGGGTGGTATGAGGGCCCGACGTCCACAGGTGGGGATTGTGCTTACAGACCAACACCGTGCAGGATGTTTGGCATTTGCCAGAGAACACCAAGATTGGCAAATTCGCCTCTGGCGCCCTGTGCTCTTCACAGATAAAAGCAGGGTCACACTGAGCACATGTTACAAACATGACAGAGTCTGGAGAACGTTCTGCTGCCTGCAACATCCTCCAGCATGACCGGTTTGGCAGTGGGTCAGTAATGGTGTGGGGTGGCATTTCTTTGAGGTGCCGCACAGCCCACCATGTGCTCGCCAGAGGTAGCCTGACTGCCATTAGGTACCGATATGAGATCCTCAGACCCCTTGTGAGACCATATGCTGGTGCGGTTGGCCCTGGGTTCCTCCTAATGCAAGACAATGCCAGACCTCATGTGGCTAGAGTGTGTCAGCAGTTCCTGCAAGACGAAGGCATTGATGCTATGGACTGGCCTGCCCGTTCCCCAGACCTAAATCCAATTGAGCACATCTGGGACATCAAGTCTCGTTCCATCCACCATCATGTTGCACCACAGACTGTCCAGGCGTTGGCAGATGCTTTAGTCCAGGTCTGGGAGGAGATCCCTCAGGAGACCATCCGCCACCTCATCCGGAGCATGCACAGGCGTTGTAGGGAGTTCATAGAGGCACGTGGAGGCCACACACACTACTGAGCCTCATTTTGACTTGTTTTAAGGACATTACATCAAAGTTGGATCAGCCTGTAGTGTGTTTTTCCACTTTTAATTTTGAGTGTGACTCCAAATCCAGACCTCCATGGGTTGAAAATGTTGATTTCCATTGTTTAATTTTTGTGTGATTTTGTTGTCAGCACATTCAACTATGTAAAGAACAAAGTATTTCAGAAGAATATTTAATTCATTCAGATCTAGGATGTGTTATTTTTGTGTTCCCTTTATTTTTTTGTGCCAGTATGTGTGTGTGTGTATAGAAACATAGAAACATAGAATGTGACAGCGGATAAGAACCATTCGGCCCATCTAGTCTGCCCATTTTTCTAAATACTTTCATTACTCCCTAGTCTTATCTTATAGTTAGGATAGCCTTATGCCTATCCCACGCATGCTTAAACTCCTTTACTGTGTTAACCTCTACCATTTCAGCTGGAAGGCTATTCCATGCATCCACTACCCTCTCAGTAAAGTAATACTTCCTGATATTATTTTTAAACCTTTGTCCCTCTAATTTAAGACTATGTCCTCTTGTTGTGGTAGTTTTTCTTCTTTTAAATATAGTCTCCTCCTTTACTGTGTTGATTCCCTTTATATATTTAAATGTTTCTATCATATCCCCCCTGTCTCGTCTTTCCTCCAAACTATACATGTTAAGATCCTTTAACCTTTCCTGGTAAGTTTTATCCTGCAATCCATTAACCAGTTTAGTAGCCCTTCTCTGAACCCTCTCTAAGGTATCAATATCCTTCTGAAGATACGGTCTCCAGTACTGTGTACAATACTCCAAGTGAGGTCTCACCAGTGTTCTGTACAATGGCATGAGCACTTCCCTCTTTCTACTGCTAATACCTCTCCCTATACAACCAAGCATTCTGCTAGCATTTCCTGCTGCTCTATTATATTGTCTGCCTACCTTTAAGTCATCAGAAATAATCACCCCTAAATCCCTTTCCTCATATGTTGAGGTTAGGACTCTATCAAATATTCTGTACTCTGCCCTTGGGTTTTTACGTCCAAGATGCATTATCTTGCACTTATCCACATTAAATGTCAGTTGCCACAATTCTGACCATTTTTCTAGTTTACCTAAATCATTTGTCATTTGGCTTATCCCTCCTGGAACATCAACCCTGTTACATATCTTAGTATCATCATCAAAAAGACATCCCATATATATGTGTGTGTGTGTGTGTGTGTGTGTGTGTGTGTGTGTGTGTATATATGTGTGTGTGTGTGTGTGTGCATATATATATATATATATATATATATATATATTTAAATTTTACATTATTATTTAGTTTATTTAATGTATTTATTATTTTAATTACAATTGGTATGCCAAGATGGGGTTCATTTTTATTCCTGGGCTACCATACGGTCTCAAAGGCAACATAGGCCCAGCAACCCAATCTGGCAAATTTCAATGGGAAAAGGGGAAACCCTATATTTGACCCCTGTAAGTTTCAAAACTCATAAAACCTGTACATGCGGGGTACTATGGTACTTGAGACAATGCTGAACACAAATATGTGTATTTTATTGCAGTAAAATCTAACAGTATTTTGACATTCACAGTTAAAATGTCATGCAGAACTTGAAAAATAACATATTTTCTTAATTTCTCAAACTTTTTTGGATCTTTTTTTCACCTTCAATTATGTTTCATATATAAACATGTGATATTAAATGAAAGTCCAGTGTCTCTTGCACAAAATGATATATAATAAGTGTGGGTGCACTTTATATGAAAGAGGTGAATTATGGTTGAACAACATATAGCGCAAATATTAGGTTTTGTTTACATTTTGTTTTGATCACAACTTGTACAATTGGCTCCGTCCTTAAGATGTTAAACCTTTGATGTTTTGGTTTGTGCGTATATGCTGGAGGAGTGGCTCCAGCGCTAAGATAAACAGTAGGGGAGAGAGCGGGCAATTCTGCCTGATTTTTTAGAAGCGAACGGGATAGGGGACGACACCGGTAAATTTGTCTGTGCTTTTTGTTCTGAGTACAGGGCCCTGATCCCTGTTATGAAGGGTTTTGGTAACCGTATGTGTAAACAGTTAGTGTCACTGGACAATGTCGAACGCTTTCTCCACGTCCAGGAAAAACAGGGATTCTAATCTGTTCTTTTTGCGGTTTGTTGCCAGTTTGATCAATGAACCTCTTATGACCACTTTGTGCGCTGCCCACACTGTGGAGTGTGTAAGGTCAGGAGTTTGATTTGCTGTGTATCTGTTTTGCTTTTTTGTCTTGATCTTTGAGAAGTGAACCTTTCAGTCTCCATTTCCATGAGGGATAAGTGCCTGGCAGACGTAGCATAAGCTCTATGTCATACCAAGAGATGAGGTTGATGCAGGAGGACTGAACCCACCTGACCCCCATCTGATTGACCAGAAATAGGTGGATACATGAGTACGTGGAATGGGTTGCAGAATAAAATGTGTAATCTCTGGGTCCTGGAGTCTCCAGGGATTCAGCATTCCAGTGTTGCGAATAAACATCTCTAATAGTTTATCCTGGCCCCCTCTGCCATGTGATCTTTGGAGGCCCTTTTTGCCACTGCGGTCTACTGCCGGGCACAGTGTTGCATTTAGGTTCCCCCAATTATAACGACCCCGTGTGGCAGGGCAGTGACTAAATTCTCTATTTTTTCCCAGAAACTGGGTTCAGGGTGGTTCTGTGAGTAAATGTTTAACACAAGTGGTATGTAGTAGTTTGAATCATCCCTGTGAGGAGTGTGAATCTGCTGTCTGAGTCAGTTTGGGTAGAGAGTACTTGTAATGGGCATCTTTTGTGTTGGAGTATTTCTACTCCATTTCTCTTACTTTGGGCTTGGGAGGCATTGGCTCTAGTATAGACGTGGTCCATCAGTTGAGCCTGAGATGAGCTCAAAATGTGTGTCTCCAAGCACCCTATCACAGCTCTGGATGATTTAGTCTTTTCAAAGTAATCCTATGGTATAACCTTCATTGGGTGAACATGTAACAATATAAACAGGTAACATTTAACATTGTGTATTGAATAGTATATATTAAACATTTGTCGCTCTGAACTTTACTATTGTGTTGTTATGTCGTAGAGGTCTGTTTAGGTTTCTGCCTCTGTCTATCTCTGTCCCTCTCCCTTATTGGTCTTAGTAGTGTGTTTACTGTGAGGTTATGTGGTGTGTCTCTTGTCTGTCCCAGGCTTGTGTGATGGTCCCTACCAGTATACTTGTGTTACAGATAGTGCCCTTAGGTAGTTGCTAGTTTACTTTTAACGGGTAGGATGGTGTTTCCCGTGTTTTGGGTCAATGGCGTGATGGGGTAGGGTTGAGTCTACTCAGACATGGGAGTTTATAGGTGTATTGAGCCCTGTCCCTGCGTTTCTATCTATGTCTTTGTTATGTGTGTGTTGTCAGCCCTGCGCAGTACCCTCACGTTTTCTGTCATATGTTGTTGACCTAGCATCCAGGGCCGTCTTTAAGGAGGGGAAAACGGGGCAGCTGCCCTGGGCCCAGTTACTCATGGGGGGCCCAAAGCAGCTGCCCCGTGGGCCCCGTCGCCTGCAATAAAAATTTATTTTTTTTAAATATTTCCCTACCTAATGGGCCCGCGGTGCTAGTATTGTGGCTGCACCGGGGCCCGCACACTAAGGGGCCCCCCCGGGTGGCCCATACCTTTAGGGCCACCCAGTGAGCATGTTCCAGCAGGGGTCCGGTCGGCGCTGTGGCCCTTTAACAGGGCGACCGGGCCCCTTGCTTAACGGCTGCATGGGAGGAAGTGACGTCCGCGAATCACTTCCTCCCACCTCAAAGATATCGGGCCGCGCGGGAGGCTGCTGAGCCAGCATCCAGTGAGGAGGGGGAGCAAGGAGAGCCAGACCCCCAACTCCCAACTACCCCAGCCAGCACACTGGACCCCAGGGAAGGAAGACTCTTTCAAAGGTAGGAAACTGAAGAGTGTCTGTCTGTGTGTGTCAGTTTGTATGTCTGTCTGTGTGTCAGTATGTATGTGTCAGTCAGTATATGTCTGTGTGTCAGTTTGTATGTCTATGTGTGTGTCAGTATGTATGTCTGTGTGTCAGTATGTATGTCTATGTGTCAGTATGTATGTCTATGTCAGTTTGTATGTCTATGTGTGTCAGTATGTATGTCTGTGTGTCAGTATGTATGTCTGTGTGTCAGTATGTATGTCCGTGTGTCAGTTTGTATGTCTATGTGTGTGTCAGTATGTATGTCTGTGTGTCAGTCAGTATATGTCTGTGTGTCAGTTTGTATGTCTATGTGTGTGTCAGTATGTATGTCTGTGTGTCAGTATGTATGTCTATGTGTGTGTCAGTATGTATGTCTGTGTGTCAGTATGTATGTCTATGTGTGTGTCAGTATGTATGTCTGTGTGTCAGTTTGTATGTCTGTGTGTCAGTATGTATGTCTGTGTGTCAGTTTGTATGTCTATGTGTGTGTCAATATATATGTCTGTGTGTCAGTTTGTATGTCTGTGTGTCAGTATGTATGTCTGTGTGTCAGTTTGTATGTCTATGTGTGTGTCAGTATGTATGTCTGTGTGTCAGTTTGTATGTCTGTGTGTGTGTCAGTATGTATGTCTGTGTATGTGTCAGTATGTATGTCTGTCACAGTGTCAGTATGTCTGTCACAGTGTCTGTGTGTGTGTGTGTGTGTGTGTGTCAGTGTGTATCTGTATGTTGTCAGTATGTATGTATCTGTGTGTGTGTGCCAGTGTGTATACCTGTGCATGTATCTGTATGTAGCCAATGTGTGTCTGCATGTGTGTCAGTGTTTGTATCTGCATTTGTCAGGTTATGTATCTGTGTGTCTGTATGTTGTCATTGTGTGTGTCTGTGTATCTGTATGTTGTCAGTGTATCTGCGTGTATGCATGTGTGCCAGGTTGTGTGTCTGTATGTGTGTGTGTCAGTGTGTGTAAATGTGTCTGTATAGCTGCATCTGTATGATTGTGTATATCTGTGTATCTGCAAGTGTTTCTGTGTGTGTATGTGTATCACAGTGTGTGTGTGTGTGTGTGTGTGTGTGTTTGTGACAGTGCATGTGTATTTGTGCATACATCTCAGCATTCAACACTACACGCAAATACACACCTGCATTCAAACTTCAACACTACATATAAACACACCTCTTTTTTTAAACAACAAAATTATATATAAACCAACACTACACATAAATGCATACTTGCATTTAAATGCCATCTCCACATACAAACACACCCCTACATTCACACAAACATACTCCATACAAAAACATGCTTACACTCAAACACACAAATACTGCTCAGTGCTAAATATAACCCTGCATGCATAGGAAAATGGTAGCGCCCCAGCTGTCAAAGCATTATTGGAGTTGCATGACAGATGGGGATCTACCTTTTTCCCCCTCTTGCCCAAAATAATTCATGCACCAGAGCCCTCTCTACTTTACGTCCGCCTCTGCGTTGGGGTGGGGGGGCATGATTGCATGCCAGGGAGGGGACGACCGGGTTCAGGGGGCCCAAGCAAATGTTTGCCCAGGGTCCAATCCATATTAAAGACGGCCCTGCTAGCATCTGTGATCGGATTACAATGTAGTATGGTATAACAGGTACGTTGCAATATAGCCATTTACATCGGGTATCCCATCCATACATTTCACATGTTCGCTTTCCCTGGGGTCTACCAGTCTGAGAGGTGGTGCTGAACAACTGTTTTTTTTTTATGACCAGTGTCAAGGAATCCTTGTTGTTCCATGTGTGTGTTCCTTAGTATTTCTATTTTGTCTCTTTTTTGTTTACATTGTTTTTTTTGTTTTGTTTTTCAACATCTCAATAGTGTTTTTTTAATTTTTTTATTTATTTATATGTGCTTTTTGTTTTTTAGGATTTGCCCTTTTTTGTTGGTTTGTATGTTTTGATACTATCTATTGACCCAGCGCTTGTCTATCATTTGTTTCTAGTAAATGCAGTGTGTGTGTAAATGTGGTCCTTTTGTGGGTATTTTGGAGGGGGGTGGGATTCACTATCGAGATACCTGGATTTAGTAGGGGTCGACAGGGTGTGTGAGACTAAGGCCTTGAGGGATCTTTATGGGCAGGTGAAGCTACTTATGATCCCTTATTACGTCCTTTTTTGAGGGGGAGAAGGGGTTACGGAGCATATCGTTGTTTTTTCTGTCGGCCCTATGGGCGCATATGTGTGTATGAACTGGCAATCTAGCATCCTAGCTTTTGAACCATTAAATAATTAACACATGCCGGGGAACACTGACGTGTCTGGTTGCCAACAGTGACCGTTGTGGGGTTGCGAGTGTCCCTCTTGTTCTGCGGTAGTCTACGGGGTTAGTACCCTGTGCTCTGCCTCATCTCCTGGCAGATGGCCGAGTGCACTAGGGATCCTGCTGGGGATCCAAAAATATTCTGGGACCTCAATGCCTATGTCCCGGAGGAAGGTCCTTGGGTCTGCAGACGGCAGGAGTACCGCGGGTCTCAGGCCATTGAAGATCAGCATTATAAAAAGGTGTCCCCAGGTGAAGTTGTATCCTTTGGCACATACTAGGTCTGCAATTGGCTTCCATTCCCGTCTGCAAAATAGTGTAACCGGTGCGATGTCTTGGTATAGGTGTGAAGGGCAATCTTCGTAGGTGTATACGTGGTTTCTGCTGCTTTTCATAATGGCTTCTTTGGTGGAGAAGAAATGCGACCTCATGATCACATCTCTTGGTGGGCCACTGGGGGGGCCTCTAGCTCTCAGTGCTCAATGTGCCCTGTCGATATTCCAGAGATGGTCCGATACATCGGGCAGCTGTGTCTTGAATATCATTATTAATACTGACTGGATGTCCGAATCCTTCACACTCTCTGGGAGGCTTCTGACTCGCAGACTGTTGCATCTGGATCTGTTTGAGGCGTCCTCCAGATCTGTTTCCAATTCGGCAACTCTGGTGAGTAATGTGTTAGTGACTGTAGCTGCTTCATTGTGTGCTGTCACCACGTGGTCCATCTGCCATTATAAGGCCTCTGTAGGTTGGCCTTCTGCTTGTATTTTGTTTTTCACCTATTTTGCTGAGTACTTGATCTCCGCTGCCAAAAAGCATTTGACCTCTGATAGGCACTGGAGAATTGCGCCTTGTGTCTCGGTCTGTGGTAGATATTCGAAATATATTGATCCTGGGGAGCAAGGCGAGGCAGATCGCACCAGGCAGTCACCATCTTTGGACACATATGTCTGCTACTGACCGGGTTCCCTCTCTGGTTTTCTTGCTGGATTTGCAGCTTGTTATGGATGCTGGTACGTTCCCCTCTCTTCTGGGTAGGTTCAGAGTCGTCAGTGTCAGGATTATTTGCTGTTTGCATGGCGTTTTTTTAGTTTTGCATGCGGCGCTCTAAGCTTAGGGAGCCATTACTCTCGGCAGTCAAGCCATACCCCATGATAACTGACTTCTAATATGAGATGTAAACAGTTCTGAGATTGTTTTTATAGTAATTTTTCTTTTTGCTCATAGATCCATTTGTATCTTAAATCAACTGACTCCCCTGGTTTGTAATTGCATTTACACAGCAGGAGAACTAAAGTAGAAAGGGCCCATGTGCACACATTTATTTGGAGCCCACCATCAGAAAAAAAGTAGATTCCAGTCTGTTGTACAATTTCCACAATGCTTTGACAGCTGGTGATCTACCATTTGACCATCCTTGCAGAGTTGTATTTAGTACTGAGCAGTATCTGTATGCTTGAATGTAAGCATGTGTTTATATGGAGTATGTGTGTGTAAATGTTGGGGTGTATTTGCAGTGCCCGTCCCTGCACTGTCATCCCACCTTCTTGGCTAAGATTATTGAGATCAGTGAACTCAGCCAATCCAATGCTTTCCAAAAGTTAAAACTGGGGATATGGCACTCAGACCACTTAATTGCATTTTTTAAACAATGTTACTTTTACTCTGACTGCAATTTAGCAGACTGGTCCCATTTAGGTAAATGGTTATCCATACAATAGATTTAAACAAAGAGTTAACCAGTAAAGCAATATGAAAACAGTACATTATTTAAAGCACACGAGGAGTAGCATACCTGCATATAAGCGATGTATACACAAAGCCATGTAATGACATTATCTCACTTACAGGGAACTCTAAAAATGTTAAACACAATGTTTTTGATCGATAAACACATTATTTTATTACTCTACATATTACATATAGGGTTTTTAGGCATACTACAAATGTTGATCAGGACAAACAGTTTCTCTAATTGATGGGTTAAGGGAAATCTTTTTTAATAAATGTATGTTGAATTTATTCCATTCTCTACTCCATTCTTCATATTGTTATAATGAAGCTATTGCAAGCTATTGTTTATATGAAGCTATTGCTTATTTGAAGCTATGCCTGTTATTGTTATGCTACTTGGGTTATTTGGGTTGGAACTCAACTGCAGCTTGTAGAACTCACTAATTACAATAGTAAAGAAACGGAGAATCTTTAAAGTATCAATACTGTAGCTTTAAGAAAAGAGAGGATTGCTGGTAACTTGAGATTCCAAAAAAGTTTTAATAATTGTTAAACTTAAAAGAATTGCATTCAGGCAATAATCCAATAAGAAGTAGTGCAGGTTCAAATAATACAAAGTTCATTAATAAGTATTTCCTCAGAGATGCATTAAGTAAGATTCTTTAGGTTCCTGAGAATAAACTTCAATAGAAAAATTAAGCAAGTAGCTGAGAGAAGCAAGAACAGTTCATAGTTAATAAGCATGATGGGAGTTGTCCTCCATATAATTAGTAACTTGAAGCAGAGAAGAAGTGAGCAAGCAGGAATTAGTTCATTGATAAGTGAGATTGCAGACAATAGTTGAAAGCTATACTTAAGGTTAATGTGAGTTGTCCTCGAAGAGTTCAGAGATATAGTCCACTTGTAAAGTAGAAGGTTATCCGTTCTCCAGTAATCCTCTATGGCATTAAGCATATTCCTTCCCTCAGCTCAGAAGGCTAGGACGGCTTATCAGAGCTTGTGGAGCCGTCATGTATCCGGAGCCGGCGTGCATACCCGGAAGTAGGTCCCACAATCACCAAGCGCCTTCTCCCTGGCGCGGTCTCTCTAAATACTGTCAGAGCCGCGTCAGAGGGGGGCGGGGCTGGCTCAGCATAGCGGAGTGCGGAACCCGGAAGAGATACCGCATGACAGTTATTTCAAGTTACAAAAGTAATGTTAGAGCCACATGGTGAAGAGTAAAAGGTATGAGAATAGAATTTCTGTGCAAATTGTTGTAGAAATACTGACATACTTATTCTGTGATTGTCTGTAGTTTTGTGTTATGGAAATATATGACTAGACTGCTCCATAATCTTTGAGTACATTTTTATTTTTCTGATCTTAAAGTTGCATCGTACAAGTATTGACAGTGACAACACAACTGTCTTTATAAAAAAATAAACCATTATCATAAAAAAACTTTTTATTTAAAGAATGTCATACTTCGATCAAAATCTAGATTGATCTTTGTGATTTTTATTTGTCATAGCTTCATCCTTTAGAACACTGTGTTTCTGACATATAGTCAGGTTAAAATATGGTATGAAAGTGACAATTTCAATGAAAAAGGTTTTTGTTATATTGTAACAAAGCTACTCTGACTTACTTTTAATTAAATATAATACTGTTGCTTTGTTCAGATTCCCACATTTCGGGATTTCTCTTTCTATACTGTGACCTGCTACATATAAATTTATTTTTTTAAAGCTTCATATTCTTTACAACATAATCCTTTCCTAGTGAAAATCTGATTTCTGTAAAAATATACTATAGCTATACAGCTATTATTTAAGCCCACACCCCTCTTATTGTTAATATACAGAATAACAGATTTGTTTTTTGTTCACATAGTATTAACTAATAATGTTTTACCTAAAATCATTTATTTTTAGTAAAAACTTGGAGACGCTCAAACCAAAATTCACTTTCTAAGTAAGTGTACAGTGTCACGATTGCACCCTACTTCAAGAGTGTGCATTATGTAGTTGTGGGGGGAAGAGGGTTAAAGTCCAGTATTTTTCTGGAAATAATGATAAAATCCCCCTTAACACCACCCACACTTAAGCATAATAATATAAATATTACTATCTTAATGTTGCCACCACCAAGACAATTTATAAATGGGGTGTTTTGGTCCCCCAGGTAACTTAATAAGAAAAAACAACCAAATATAAGTTAGCACAATATTTAAACAATTGCAAAACACTACTCAGTCTCTTCAGGCTACGTGATTCTTAACCAAAGGCAGAACTAAATAAAGGAATATTTATTATGAGCCCAAAAATAGTCACAATGCATACAAAAATATAGATGGCAATCAAATTAGTTACACCAACAACAGATAAAAACAAAATGGATAAGATAACAGAAGTCCTAATCACTTACTCAGGTTTTCAAAGTAAAACTTCTGCCCAGGGGGTCTCTGGTAAGAAAGATGGTGACTCACTCAGAATTAGATTCTGCCCACAAGCAAGTACAATATACACTTCAGTTTCATTAGACATATACCCTGTGGGTTACCAAGCCTCGCCTAGAGGTGGTGATAAGGCATACCTGTAGTAACTGTAAGTGACCACCACCTTGTTTTCCAGACCAACATTTGGTTCTATCTCCTCTTATGTACTTGCCACAGAAATAATAATTGCATCTATGAATGTTACCATTTTTCCATTCCGTAGATATGTCCACTCCTTGCTTGTGACCCAATATAATGGACATCACAATCCCTTTCCCTATGGTTAAGTTACACAAATCATGTCACTTATGTGTGACTTCTCGCACTTTGCAGAGCCTTTGATTAATCAAAGGATCAATCCATATGGTAAACCGTCTGCTTCCTTTCACATCCCTATGCAATTTACATTCTTACCTTCTGTCATCTGATCCCTACCAAGTGGCCAATTAATAAATGCACTACACAAATTACGTTAAATTGTAATATTCTATTGTGCAACAATGAATTATGCACCCTTGACGTGACAGACATTTATTCGTCAATCAGGCTCAACTTTCCTAGAATTTTTATAGGTAAAGTTCCCTTCAAGTGCTCCACCCACATCAGGTAACTAATTAAATTGTCACTCCAAGCACAAAAACAACTTTTTCCTTAATCAATGTTTTTTGTTGTGCAGTCTCAATTCTCAGTTGTCAGTCATTTTGGAATAAAATACCTATGCTTAAGTCATACACAACCTTGCTGTACATTACACAGTCTACCTACACCCTTCATGAAAGGTCTATTTGTTTAGTGTCCTTTCTCTAGGAATGGTGGAAAAGTGTATTGGGCCTACTTTACCAATTTACACATGTGTAGGTGGAAGATCTCTACACTTTGCAACATCACGATAGGGGGAGAAGCGAGGGAGACTGATCAGTGCGATTCATGCAGAGCAGGTTCGGGTATTGGGTTTCTTTCTTCTAATGCTGCACAATGATGCCCTTTTTCTGTCATTAGAGTACTGGAACTGAAATGTGTGAGTAAGAGGGAGGGGATGAGGCTGAAAATACCCATTTGCTGAGAGGTGTGCCTAACAATGCAATTTGATTATGTTTAGAAACATTTATAACATGCTATACGTTTTCAAGAGTAGGAAGAAAGGGAGGTAAATGAGGGTGGGAAAGGTAGGGATTGGGAGGTTTTCTTTGTGTGGATGGAGATGGACAAGTGTTTTTCCGTTGCAAGTAAGTAGCAGTTATATATGTTGGCAGCAAGCAGTGCATGCTGATGATGTTCATAAAATATGTACATAATTCACATGAAGCAGCTCGGAACAGAGTCACAGAAGAAGTCATTCGAAGAAACTAGTGAAATGTAACCACATAAACTTTGATTTTCACAGAGATCTTTTTTTTTAATTTTGAATATTCTTTATTTGGAAACATATAAAAAGAGGGGGTGTGGTCTGGCAGCCAACTTTAATGGCCACATAATTTGAGAACTCCCACTTACCCACCCACAAACAGCATCACAGTTCACAAACTCAAAAGCTGCCAACCTGAATGTGATACCTAGGCTCCGAAGCCAAGCCACATGGAAAAAAGTGAGGAGAGAAGCAAGATTTCTCCAAAACACTAGTCAACCTGTTCGCCACACTCCTCACAGGCCGCACAAGATGGCCGCCGGGCGGGCTCGCATGGTTCTTTGTCCCCAGCCAAGAGTGAGATGGCGGACTCACAACCAGGGGACACTACACAAATATTATCTAAACTATCGGAGGTTCGATCTTACCTGGCAGGATAAATTGCATGCAACTCACAGGAGGTCAAGGCCAAGATTCAGGCCCTGGGGAAGTGCACAACTGACCTTGAGCACTGGGTCGAAATCTTTGTACAAGCACACAACATGGTGATGGAGCAGCAACTCAATAGCCTAGAGATGCTTGTGGAAGACCTCTTCAACCGCTCTAGGTGCGATAACTTGCGCATATGAGGCATACCAGAAATGCCTAAAAAAGGCCCACTAATGCAGAAAATGGAGGAATACTTCCAGCACCTACTGCCTGACATAACAAAAGAAAGAATGGTGCTCAACCAAGCGCATAGAGCCTTATAAGCTCAAAGAGCAGAGGGCCAGGTGCCAAAACACATTATCATACATTTCCATTACTATGCCACAAAGGAAGCCATCTTGAGATATAACAGGGTCCATGAACTCACATATCAAGGCACCACAATTGCTCTGTTCAATGATCTCTCTCCAGGCACCCTACAGTGAACACTCGACTGAAAACTGATGGCAGATGTGCTCCGACAACATGGGATCTGCTTTACCCGCTAATACCCCTTCAAGACAGTTGCATTTTAGGCAGGAATAAACTACACCTACTAACCTGCCAATGATCCTGCAAAATTCCTCCATAAACTCTCCATGACACCCCCAGTGTATTTTGCCTTACCAGGACCATCTCGCCCAGGCCTCATGGCTCTCCTGAGAGAGTGGTATGAAGCCAGAGAAACTGCTGGGGGAACTGCATATCTGCCGGAGCTCGGTGACCCAAGAGAGACACTGACACCATCTTCGACCGGGGCAGCTAAGTCACCCTGGGGGGGGGCTGATGTAATGGGGCCCCATGGCAGTAAGGGGGTATGGGGAGTCACAGAGATCCCACAGCTGCAGCCATTGGGTATAAAGGACTATAAGTCTAACTCAAGGGATGATAAGGAGTTACAAATTAGTGTTTATATACCTCTCAATGCACTTAGGTTACTAAAAGGACTCTCCAGATAGCACCATCACCAATGCTACACAACTCAACACCTTGCAAAATGGCATTGAAGGTCAAAGGTCTAAACTCCCCAAACAAATGCAGACTGCTCTTGAGAGATATAAAAGCCAAAAAAGTTGATATTGCACTCATGCAGGAGACAGGTCAGCACCCGTCAGATTGATTGACAAGTCTTACACTGCGGTATATGAGGTGAGAGTGATGCACAAGTGAGCAGGGGTAGCAATCCTGGTCCATAAAAGGAGCCCACTCCAAAAAATCCAGAAGGGCAGATCCAGAAGGGCAATATATCTAAATCGTGGGTACCCTCTATAATGCAAAAATATATATCCTCAACTTTTCAAATCTGGAGACTTTGGTCTCTGGAGCAGGAGAGGGGTGCTTATGGTAGGAGGAAATTTTAAAGTGGTACCATGTCCGGCAGCTCGAAATCGGGCACCATAAGATCACAGGGACGTGGGGCGAAAGACAAATTATTGCACACATTCTTGACACCTGGTCTGCTTAACATTTGGCGACTTCAACAACCTGACACACGGGACTATACATTCTTGACATCTGGTCTGCTTAACATTTGGCAACTTCAACACCCTGACACACGGGACTATACATTTTATTCAACACCCCACAATACATACTCTAGAATAGACAATATATTTCTCAATTGGACAGGGATGGGCAAGGCAATCCATTCGGAAATTAACAGTATTACCTGGTCAGACGATGTGAACATAACAGTCACCCATGGCAAGCTACAATATAATTCAAATTGGACATGGAAACTCAACACTAGCCTCCTTAAAGATGAGGAATATCTTTAAGACACAACCCGAACAGCTCTCAAAGAGTATTTCGAGCAGAACATGAATCCAGACATAAATACCACAATGGTATGGGCAGCCCTCAAGACTATCCTCCGTGGACACTTCATAAAAGTATCCACACTTAAAAACATACTAAAACAAAACTATTACTGGAGTTGCAATCAGCTCTTCAGAAAGCTGAGCAACAACATCAAATCAACCCAACCAACACTAAACTATGATAACGTAATGCCCTCAGACACTCAAAAGAAACATCACTTGAAGAAGTGACCCGCTCTTTACTATGGTCAGTGGCGTACATACCAGGGTCGCAGGGGTCGCGGCTGCGACCGGGCCCGGCCCACCAGGGGGCCCGGCCGCCCCTGCGACCCGGTATGTACGCCCAGGGCCAGCCTCTTCCCCTGGGGGGCCCAGGAGTCGACCACCCCAGGGCCCCCCGAGGCTGGCCCTGCTGACCCCAGTAGGCAGGTGGCCGGTCGGGCAGGCGGGTGCGCGAGGGAGCACTCAGTGCTTCCTCTTCAGCTCCCTCGCGCACCGCAATGATACCGGAGCCGGAAGATGACGTCATCTTCCGGCTCCGGCATCCCTATGCGGCGCGCGAGGGAGCTGAAGAGGAAGCATTGAGTGATCCCTCGCGTGCCGGCCACCGAGACAGCCCGCCCGCCCGCCCGCCCAGGAGCCCAGCAGCAGCACCACTGGACCCCAGGGAATCCCCCCAGCACTCCAAAAGGTAAGGAGGCTGGGGGGATTAAATTTGAAAAAAAAAATGTGTGTGTGTGTGTGTTAGTGTATGTGTGTGTTAGTGTTAGTGTATGTTACTGTGTGTGTGTGTTAGTGTGTGTTAGTGTTAGTGTGTGTATGTGTGTGTTAGTGTGTGTATGTGTGTGTTAGTGTTAGTGTATGTTACTGTGTGTGTATGTGTGTTAGTGTTACTGTTAGTGTGCGTTAGTGTGTGTATGTGTGTGTGTTAGTGTATGTGTGTGTTAGTGTATGTGTGTGTGTGTTAGAGTGTGTGTGTTAGTGTATGTGTGTGTGTTAGTGTATGTGTGTGTGTTAGTGTGTCAGTGTTTGTTTGTGTTAGTGTGTCAGTGTTTGTTTGTGTTAGTGCCTGTGTTAGTGTGTGTGTCAGTGAATGTGTCTGTTATTGGGTGTGTGTCTGCTAGTGAGTGTGTTACTGTGTGTGTCTGTTACTGAGTGTGTTTGATGTCTGTTAGTGAGTGTGTGTTTGTCAGTGAAAGTGTATGTATGTCTGTCGCTGAGTGTGTCTCTGTCAGTAAATGTGTGTGTCTGTTAGCTAGTGTGTATGTGTCTGTTCGTGAGAGTGTGTGTGTGTGTGTCTTCAGCATTTACCTTTCTCCAGCGTCGGACTCCCCAGTGTCTGCCACTCAGGTCCGAAATGCACATGCGCGGCAAGAGGCGCGCGCGCATTTAAACCGCCCACAGGAAAGCATTACTCGATGCTTTCCTATGGACGTTCAGTGTCTTCGCACTGTGATTTTCACAGTGAGAATCGCGGAAGCTCCTCTAGCAGCTGTCAATGAGACAGCCACCAGAGGCTGGATTAACCCTCAGTAAAACATAGCCGTTTCTCTGAAATGGCTATGTTTTCAGCTGCAGGGTTAAAACTAGAGGGACCTGGCACCCAGACCACTTCATTGAGCTGATGTGATCTGGGTGTCTGTAGTGGTCCTTTAAGTGTGTGTGCATACCGCGGTCGCGGGGTCGCAGCCCTGCAACCCCTGCGACCAGGTGCCCGCCACCATGTGTTGCGACCCCGACCCGCGCTGAGTAAGCGTGCGGGGGGGGGCCCACGGATCAATTTTTGCACCGGGGCCCCATGGGTCATGTGTACGCCACTGACTATGGTCTAAAAGATTATTCTATGAAAAAGCAAACAAAATGGATACCCTATTAGCCAGGGCTTTGTGACCAAGAATGGGATGCAAACTGTGGTGAAACCAACCTCGCCACTGTGAACTGGAGAAGCCTGGTTGCTCGCCTGCTCCCTTTGGACTATGGCCCTGCAGGTTAAACCGTTTATTTCCCCTGCAGAAAGGCTTATTTGTGTGATCTGAGTGCCATTCATCTAATAATGTGCACTCAGATCCCAGCTATCTGGGGATATGTGAAATGTCTGTGTGTTATGTGTAAAGGTGACTTTATGTATTTTAAAGTGTTTTGTGTCTTTTTGCAACCATGTGCTTAATGGAGTCTTGTGTCTGTCCTGGGAGATAATTGAATTACTCTCCAGGATAGAAGACTCTGAAACTGGTTTGGGCCAGAAAGCCATGCTTCATTTAGTCACAAAGGACTTTCCCTTAACTTTTGAACCCCTGGTCTGATTCGTGCCATTTTTTAATATGTTGTTCCCCTGAATGGATTGATTATGAAAATGTATGTTTTATGTTTGTGACATGTATATTTTAGAAGTTATAAATATTGTGTAAAAACTGTATTCCTCTGCCGGTGATAATGAGATTACCCATTGTGTTCAGTAATCATATCACCTGCAGAGGGGAGGATTTTGTGTGGGAGTGTCTGGGTGTATTGTACGGATTGATTGGTTGTTTTGTAACGCCCTGTGGGCTGTACTATGTTTGTGGATTGGGAATAAAAGAGACTGTATGTGACAGTACAGAGAGTTCCTGTTTTAACCCTCAAAGTGAAGTGTCGTCTCATTATTGGGGGAAGGATTTATTGTATGCTGTTCCAGTTTGACTGCTAGGAGAGTAAACCTATTTGTATGGATCCTATTCAACTGTCTACAGCATTCAAATGCTTGAGAGGATTCATATGCTTCTCTGGTTCGGTGGTTGTGGTGTCTGCTGCAGTGCGTGGAGTCCTCAGGAAGCGCTAGGAGCATCCTTTAACGGAGGTACCCAGTCGGGGTGCCAGGCGATCCGTTACACAAACCTATAACTAAAATATGCACCGAAACCAATGAAGTAGTCAAAATACCAAATGATATCAACAAGGTATTCACGGTATACTTTTCAGGCCTATATAATCAATCACTCACCCAACCTCCCTAAAGACAATACAAAACACTCCGCGGACCTACATAAGTTCCTATCAGATCTGACATGCCAAGGGTGACAGGAGAAGAGGCAGCAAAACTGAGGGAACCAATCACCCAAGTTAAAATGGAGGCAGCCATATCAGCTCTCAAAAGCAATAGAGCCCCTGGAACAGACGGCTATGACATTAGTTACTACAAACGATTTGGAGATGAATTGACCTCCCAGCTCACGACTCTATGTAATCACTTCATGCATGGAGGAAAGCCAGACACGGACATGGCCACGGCCAACATAATACTACTACCAAAGTCCAACAGAGCAATATCGCTCATTAATGCTGACCTTAACATATTCGCAAAAATATTAGCATCCAGACTCACGTCCCTCTTTCTGTAACTGATCCACTGACCAAGGTGTCTTCTCTGGCACTCACTCTTACAAGCTATCAGAATGCACCCACAAATCTAGGAGGTGGAGGTGATGGGAAAATAGTTAACAATATCGGCTAACACCGATGATGTCCTCCTCACCCTCAAAAACCTGTTAAACTACATTGACGACATTGCTAAACTGGGGGCTACAAAGTCAACTTCAACAGATCACTGGCCATACCCTTCTATATTACAGCCCCGGACATGGCGCTCATCCACGGCCAATACCACCTAAAAATAAACACGGAGGAATTTACATATCCCAAATTACTGTTCCCTTGCAACTATATTCCACTATTCCAAACCGTCACCAGAGAATTAGACCAGTGAACAAATAAACCAGTTTCCTCGTTGGGACACATACACTCAATTAAAATGAACATCCTACCATGATTATTATTTTTTCAATCCCTACCAGTGAGAGTTACCCGTGGAGATTTAGCAGGCATGCAAAGGGAAATTGACACATTTATATGGCACAATAAATGCCCACGATTAGCCCATGGCCTATGGTACGAACAAAACCAAGAAGTGGCCTGGGACTACCCCACCTTTACCAGTATTATCTGGTGGCACAGATGGCCAGATCATACATTGGCATACAGCCCAAAAAAAGACACTGGGTGGACCTGGAGTCCCTAATGACAGAGATGGTGTGGCGGAACAGACCTCGCCACGTGTTCTTGGAGGGGGCTGCTTGCCCGCCTCCTACCTTCTGACTATGGCCCTGGGATATATGGCATTTGAAAACACTCTTTTTGCCCTATGACAAAACTGGAGATTGTGCACAAATATGACTATTGTCCATATTTTTTATGATTCCTTTCGTTTCTTGCACTGTTCCCCATGTGTTTCATCTGTTGGTCTGGCTGGATAGACTACCAGACAAACTGTGGAGTTACTGGGTGGCCACCATTTCATGTATCAGAGGCACATGGTGAGAACAATGGATGGTGGCCATTTTAACTCACAGACACTGTTTGGACTTTTCTACACGGTGCCATCTCGACGGTATTTGGTGCACAAAGACATCGTGCACTAGTTTTAAACTATACAACAGGGGACACATTATACAGTAATTATTTTTCATATAGCCTGTATATGTTCTGCGGAATCTGCATTAAACTGTATCTTCCACACTACTGAATGGATCTGGGTGAATTTTGGATATGTGGTTCACCCAGATCCCCCGGTTCCGAGGATATACTTTTTTTAATTGCATGTTTTGGGGTCCCTGTGATATGTTTTATAATACTGTATTTCTCTGCCTGTGATAATTATATTAACCATTGTGTTCAGTAATCATATCACAGGCAGAGGGGAGGATTTTGAGTGGGAGTGTCTGTGTGTATTGTACGCATTGATTGGTTGTATTTCAAAACCCTGTGGGCAGTACTATGTTTATGGATTGTGAATAAAAGAGGCTGTATGTGCCAGTACAGTCAGTTCTGCTTGACCTCAAAATGAAGTGTCGTCTCATTATTGAACATAGAACATAGAACATAGAATGTGACGGCAGATAAGAACCATCCGGCCCATCTAGTCTGCCCAATTTTCTAAATACTTTCATTAGTCCCTAGCCTTATCTTATAGTTAGGATAGCCTTATGCCTATCCCACGCATGCTTAAACTCCTTTACTGTGTTAACCTCTACCACTTCAGCTGGAAGGCTATTCCATACATCCACTACCCTCTCAGTAAAGTAATACTTCCTGATATTATTTTAAACCTTTGTCCCTCTAATTTAAGACTATGTCCTCTTGTTGTGGTAGTTTTTCTTCTTTTAAATATAGTCTCCTCCTTTACTGTGTTGATTCCCTTTATATATTTAAATGTTTCTATCATATCCCCCCTGTCTCGTCTTTCCTCCAAGCTATACATGTTAAGATCCTTTAACCTTTCCTGGTAAGTTTTATCCCTGCAAACCATGAACCAGTTTAGTAGCCCTTCTCTGAACCCTCTCTAAGGTATCAATATCCTTCTGAAGATACGGTCTCCAGTACTGCGTACAATACTCCAAGTGAGGTCTCACCAGTGTTCTGTACAATGGCATGAGCACTTCCCTCTTTCTACTGCTAATACCTCTCCCTATACAGCCAAGCATTCTGCTAGCATTTCCTGCTGCTCTATTACCTTGTCTGCCTACCTTTAAGTCATCAGAAATAATCACCCCTAAATCCCTTTCCTCATATGTTGAGGTTAGAACTCTATCAAATATTCTGTACTCTGCCCTTGCGTTTTTACATCCAAGATGCATTATCTTGCACTTATCCACATTAAATGTCAGTTGCCACAATTCTGACCATTTTTCTAGTTTACCTAAATCATTTGTCAATTGGCTTATCCCTCCTGGAACATCAACCCTGTTACATATCTTAGTATCATCAGCAAAAAGACATACCTTACCATCAAGACCTTCTGCAAGATCACTAATAAAAATATTAAAGAGAATGGGTCCAAGTACAGATCCCTGAGGTACCCCACTGGTGACAAGTCCAAGCTTCGAATATATTCCATTAACTACAACCCTCTGTTGCCTGTCACTCAGCCAGTGCCTTACCCATTCAACAATATTTGAATCCAAACTTAAAGATTGCAGTTTATTGATAAGCCTTCTATGTGCAACAGTGTCAAAAGCCTTACTGAAATCTAGGTAAGCAATGTCTACTGCACCACCCTGATCTATAATTTTAGTTACCCAATCAAAAAATCAATAAGATTAGTTTGGCATGATCTCCCTGAAGTAAACCCATGTTGTCTCTGATCTTGAAATCCATGTGTTTTTAGATGTTCATCAATCCTATCCTTTAACATGGTTTCCATCACTTTCCCCACTACTGAAGTAAGGCTTACTGGCCTATAGTTGCCCGACTCCTCCCTATTACCTTTCTTGTAAATGGGCACAACATTCGCTAACTTCCAATCTTCTGGGACTACTCCTGTTAACAATGATTGGTTAAATAAATTTGTTAATGGTTTTGCTAGTACACCACTAAGCTCTTTTAATAGCTTTGGGTGTATTCCATCAGGTCCCATTGACTTATTTGTCTTTACTTTTGACAGTTGAAACAGAACCTCTTCCTCTGTAAACTCACGTGTAATAAATGACTCATTTATCCTTTTTCTCAACTGAGGTCCCTTTTCTTCATTTTCTTCTGTAAATACAGAACAAAAATATTCATTGAGGCAGTCAGCCTGACCTTTATCCTCTTTTACATACCTTCCTTCTTTTGTTTTTAATCTAACTAATCCTTGTTTTACTTTTTTTTTCTCATTTATGTATCTAAAAAATGTTTTATCCCCCTTTTTTACTGACTGTGCTATTTTCTCTTCTGTGTGTGATTTGGAAGCTCTTATAACTTGCTTAGCCTCTTTCTGCCTAATTGGGGGAATTGGATTGTATGCTGATTGCCAGGAGTGTAAGCTGATTGTATGCTTTTCCTGTTCAGCTGCTTACAGCATTCATATGCTTGAGAGCATTCGTATGATTCTCCGGTTCGGTGGTTGTGGTGTCTGCTGCAGTGCTTGGAGTACTCAGGAAGCACTAGGAGCATCCTTCAATGGAGGTACCCAGTCGGGGTGCCAGGTGATCCATTACAGATGGATGTCCCCCAGTTCTACATATGGGTACCCAGAACCCAACATGCAAACCTGGGGATCACAAATCCTGCTATCCTCGACTCCATTTAAACATGGGACCAAATACGGCAGAAATATTTCGTGAGTAGCCTCCCCTCCCCAGTACTCAGGAACAGTGTTTTCTTGCCAGGGATGAGGGCCAGAGACTACAGGGGGATAGAGACTACGGGATTCTAGAGATATGTTCACCTCTATATTAACAAAGATATAATCACATACAAATATCTGAACTCTCTAGCCCCACTTCAAACCTGCGACTACTTTAGATATTTACAACTACAGGACTTTGCAAAGAGCACAGAAATTCGGGTAGCGGCTACAACACAAATGACTTTCTTCGAAAATATTTGCTTTAACGAAACCACGCAAACCAAACTAATCACATTACTTTATAACCACCTTAGTTCAGCAATTGATAAAGAAGGGTCACTGCACTATACAGATCAATGGAAGGCCAACCTGGGAGAGGTGTTGGAGAGAACAGATTGGCAAGATATCTGGGAGGCTTTACAAAAACAACAATATATGTAACGCACCAAGAGCAGTCAACAAAACATTATTCAGATTGTATACAACCCCCGTAAAGCAATATCAGATGAAACTGAATCCCTCAGATGCATGTTTGCACATGTGCTGCGGAAAGGGTACCTACTGGGAGTGCCCAGTGGTAACAAACTACTGGCATAAAATTACAGATTTAAGCTCTCAGATCCTACAGAGGAGAATAAACTTAGACCAATGGGCAAATCTGCTATCCAGACCCACAGAAGGCCTGTGGGCTTCCTAAACTCCTAAATACATTGAATGCTACAGCTTTAAGGTTCATTTCCCATACCAACTTTGCTGTAAGTCTCTACAATTGAACGCTGCAGCTTTAAGGTGCAAATTGAAATTCAGAAGATGCTTCACCTTTGCCACTAGATTACTTACTAGAATACTTACTTTCATTGTTATCTATAGTGTACTACTGTAGTATCTTGTACTTGCAGCTACATGTATTAATTAATAATCTGGCTGTTTGGATTTGACTGGCAAAATTCTCACACCTGTTTCTTGTCCCCTCCTACTCCTCCCCCCATGCTTGCCACTCCTAGCTGTAAATACCTTGATATAACTGTTTATCTCTGCTCCCTCCCTAGGCCCTTTTCCCATACCAACTTTGCTGCAAGCCTCTACAATTCTACTCGGCTCAACTCACCCACCTTCCCCTCCCCCAGGTTCCCTCTAAATTTATAATGCTCTTCTAGCTGTTTAAAATTCTCTCTCATTTATCTCTTCATTCCCTCTATACTCTACCAATAGCTGCAACACTCTGTTTACTTATTTAACCATCACTTCCAAATTTCCCCTGCTACCTTTTGTCTCAAATCTCCATGGTATCTTTTAGATTGTAAGCTCATGGGCTATCTAGCTATTGACTTTGTATAAAATAGCTTCAATGGCTAGATCTCAACTTACGGGCAGGTCGCCTCCCTACATTTGTATTTGTCTGTGTAAATTGTATGTTCTCCACTAATTGTACAGCGCTGCAGAATCTGTTGGCGCTTTATAAATACCAGTAATAAAATAAAATAAATATGCTTACTTTAGCAGCACAACCAAAAATGGTTGTGCCCCAAAATCCCCCAAATCTCCTTAGTCATAGCAAAACTTAGGGACAACTACCCTATGTACAAGCTAATGGCACATGTCAAAAACTCACTCAATACTTTCTATAGTGTGTGTGGTATCTCTGGAAGCAATAAAACACATAAAGTAATGTTCTAGAACCCTGATAGGAAGGGTTCTGGTCAAGGCTGTGGTACAGACCAACAGCTTAAGCTGACTCACTGCATATGATATTTCTGTGCCTGGACACAGTCTCCCTAGAGATCGACTAGTCTTTTCTCTTTAGCTCTTACTTACTATACTTTCTCACTTTACGCTATACTCTTTCTTCTCTTGATAAGCTAAAATAAAACCTTGCAGACAGAAGAAAATGGCAATTGTAACGGATCCCTATACTCCGACTGAGTACTTCCATTATAAGTCTCCCCAAATCCCAAGTGATCAGAGCTCTTAGCAACCCAAACATCAGCTGAGATTTGATGAAGGGTACAACAGGAATGATTTAATGGGCCACGGTACAGCCAATTTATACAAAACATGGACACAGTCAAACCAGCCCTGGAACACTCCCACAGCACCCTCATTACACTCCCACAACACGGCTGTGCATAAAGAAGATAACGCATAAAAATACCCCCAAAAATATCAAAGACATAACATAACCCCACACATAATATATCCCCAAATAGCTCCTGGGTTCAGCCATGATCATTGCAAATAGCGGAGCTATCGGATGTACAGAGCCCGAGTAATCGTTGTATAAAGTCTGGCCTTGAGGCTCTGTACATACCCACAATTAGTTCCACAGAATCACTTGGTTTAGGCCGGTAGATTCAAACTTCGCACCTACACCATGCACTGATCAATCAGTGCTTAGGGAGGGAAGGGATTCCAAGCTAAGCCCTTTAACTCGCACCGGCCTATTAGGAAAAAGGGCGCAAACCCAGTTTGCATTGTGGATCCTTCTCCTATTGGTCGCCTAAACCACGCAGCGGCCAATCAGTGCTCAGTGAGGGGAGGTGTTCCGAGCTAAGCCCTTTAATTTGCGCCGGCCTATTGGGTGAAAGGGCACGAACCAGTTTGGATGGTAGCTCCTTCTCCTATTGGTTGGACTTCCAGGCGGCTAGCGGGACTCATAGCTCCAGAGGGTCTGCTAGGTCTTGTGTCTCTCTCTGGTGAATATCTCCACTTAAGTAGCACCGGAGAGAATGCTTTTTGGGAAGCTACTAGCCTGGCCTCATAGCTCCCAGGTAGGGAACCCCTGCAGTCGCGGTCTGACTCTCTGACAGTCTGGCTGCAGGCATGAGGCTCCTGGATCTCTTCTGGACAGTGATTATAGCACCTGTAGGAGCAGGTAGGGCGATCCCCAGCAGGAGGACCTGAAAACAATAGCAGACAAGCAAGGGGACACATGTGGGCATGGTACTCAGTGATGGCGGCCCGTCACAGCAGTGATACAGCTCGACATAACTGAATGCTCTCTATGAAACCCTAGTATGCCAAGGGTGCACTATATCATCATCATGTTACTATGGCAATGAATATGCCAGAATGCCATTATATAAATAGAGAATTAAAAAAAAATGAAAAGAAAGTTATAAGGGAAAAATGAATAAAAGTAAAAAAGGGTAAAATTATTTTCTCTTGATCTGTCAAACAATTAGTAACAGTTTGTCATGAGGTTAAACACACCACAACTGGTCAGCAATACCATACATTAAAATATTTCACTCAGCCTACTCCTGTAATAAAAGGGTACAAAGATATATTATTATGGCAAAAACAAAAACAGCCAAAAAAACTGTTTAAAGTTAAAAACCAGAAGAAAATCAGATATATAAGCCAATCCTATCTTACGGAATATAGAAAAATTGCAAGAATCCTCACTCTAATGAAGACATAAGGAGTCAAGTCCTACATGTTCCCAAACCTTTCTTCTAAGGAAATGTTCAGTGAGGTTTTGTATATATACATGCTGATAAATAAAATTTTAAACAAATACAGTATGTTGTAACAATTTTACACACCATGTGCTCAGTGTGGGCAATTTGTAAATGTTTATAAAAAAAGATTGTGTGTGTGTAGCTGCTGGTGGTACATGAGAAACAACAACACGGATGCTTTTCAACAACAGAATTCATACTTGATATTGATATAGCTTCAATCAATTCTTCATCTTGTGTCTGCTTCTTTGAATGTTTCATAGTGGAATATTATTTTGGATAAAAAGTTTTTTTTTTTACAAATTGCCCATATTTTATAAAGGGACAAATATAAAGCATATGGGTGGTAAAATTGCTATCATAATCAGAAGGAATTTCCAGGAATTCAAAGTGCATCTAAAGTGAATTTCACATTTAAATCCAAAGAAGATGAACCAAAAACATAGCTGACAAATTTTTCCAATTTGCCTACTTTGCCCTTAAGTTTGAAATTCACTTTCTCCTTACTTTGAACTACCAAAAATTCTCACTTTAGTAATAATTGATAGAATCAAAAAGACGGATGCACTGATATATGGCTTGATATAAAAGGTACACATAACTACTACAGTTCACTATAGTGTATGGTGAAGTATTCCTTGGATCATCCTCTTTCTTTTGTGTCAAACCATTTTCATGGAGTTTAACAAAAACAATGTTCTACTTGCATACAAATCTTAGACCTACTGCTCTGTATCCTAGATTAGCTTTTCCTAGTGCTCTCAGCCTAGTTAGATGGCCCATATGGAAGTTATTATCCAGATTAGCTGAGCCCCAGCAAAAGGGACTGCTCTTTGGTGCCAGCAGCAGTCTGTTTTTTGCAAAACATCTTAAAAATCGTTTGATAATAATCAAGTAATCGACCTCAATAGACCATTGGAATCACAACCACTACAAACTGCTTTACAGTTTATCATATTTAGAATGTCTCTGTAATGTTAAATAAAATTGATTATTGAAACAATATCTCTGCAGAGTGTTGATCAGTCATCTAATATTTAATTTTTAAATGTAAATATTGACTGAAAAAAAATCAGTATATCATAAGCTATTAAATGGAAACACCAATTGTAGATGGTATTCTGGGAAAATAGTTTATAGAATCTCTGATTTGGAGGCTGTATCTGAGGAGGGTGATGGAACCAGCTAGCACCAGCCATCTTGGTCTAGGCACTATTTGTCCTTCTTTAAATGCAGGTTCATATGAAGGTCATCTGCTAATTTTAGGTGACAGGAGCCAAAAAGATGGAAGATATATTTGGCCTCAATCTGGATGCTTTTTAAGAAGGTAATCACTAAATAAAATATCACTAATAAACAGGTAGATGCAGAGTGCTCACACGTAGAATTGCTTAAAGCATATGTTTTTAATTAAGGCTTGGAAACCAGGAGTTTCCCTTGGAGATCAACACAAACTGTGCAAACTGAGGTTTTTATTTTCAGTAATTCTGCATTAATTTTCAAAAGGGTAGGGGCAGAGCCTAACCTCAGTAAAGGATGGACACACACGTTGCTAGACCTCTATGTGTACGGGGGTTTCTTTAACTAATAGTAGCAATAACCCCAAGCGTTATACTCACCCTCCTTGCCATCTGATACACTGTAAGTGCCAATAAACTGCACTGATAGGTGGAGGTAATAAATCTTGTTTGCTGTGGTGCCCTTCTTCCGCAGCAGGTCAGGTAAGGCCTTTCCGCCCTCAGGAGACTTACCCAACTACAACTCTGACTCTGATGTCATCGACACCTTAGGGCATCTGGAACAGACTTCCATGCTGATCAAACAAGACCCAACATCCTGTAAAGCAGAGCTGAAAACCTACATGGTAGACAAACTCCATAAATATTTAGGTCCAATCAAGGAGGGACTGGCTGATTTAGCTAAATGCATGCATGGTGGTGAGTATAAACAAGACAAGATTATCATCAGGATGAATGCTCATGACTCCACACTACTTAAATTATAATAGAAAATACTTAGGAAGACCTAATTGTTCCTTTAGTGACCTTTTACCTGATATGAAATAGGAGGAATTGATCATGAACCTCGCTTGTTGGGATCTTCGATCCCATAGACCTTGTCTACCCAACCATGTATTTGCACTGTTTCCAGGTACATGTAAAAGCCCTCATGAGGGCAGAATTCACCACCTCGAATTGAAGGAATTCACCCCCTCAAATTCAGGACTTGGCTCCTAACATGAAGAAAAAAAGAAGGGAGCTCCGGCCTCTCACACAGGCCCGATCTCCCTTAGGATTGAGGAAACTCTTTCACACTAACTGTATGGAACAACATCAAGTTTTACACCTTAATTAGAGTTTTAGAGGCACTGGAGTTTGCCTTGAAATTGGGCTTACCTCCTATTCAATGGGACTCACACACCAATGTCCCCTCTCTGTTACTGCTGCAAAATCACTAAGCATGACACAAAGGTCCACTCTGACGAACACACATTTGACTTTAACCAACCGATAAGCAGCTCCTTGAGTAGCTAGGCCTGAAAGCTACGTTACTACTTGATTGTAGTGATAAGTGTGACGGACCACGTGGCACCTCGACTGGGTACCTCCGCCAATCACGCTTCCTAGTGCTCACCGAGCACCATAAGCACTGCACCGGACACCATAACCACTGTAGCCACCTTAACCGCTGTAGCTTGGCTGGGGTCCCGCCGTCCCTTCCCATCCTGGACCAAACACCTGGATCCAGCTCCGTGTGGGAAGACCTCTCCTCCAAGAGAGTATCGCTGTATAGCCAGTAAAAGAGCAAGTGATATAGCAGTATAGCTGTTCCCCCCACACATGAGCCAAGGCTTAATGCTGGGAGTCATCTGTTCTATTCAGGGCCACAAACAGCCTTTTATGCAATAGTCCATGCATGGGGTTTCTAATATAGGAATACAGGGAAATCCCTCCCATGATCCTTTGTGCCTGAGAGATAAGTATCTGAGAAGCAAACATATAATTAAATTATCTCCCAGGTACATACAATTTACAAACATCCTAAAAGTACCCCCAGAATCCAAAGAAACCCCACAAAATGTACATTCTCGGATAGCCCCAATCTGGGTGACCAACATATCCAAAAATCACCCAGATCGGTTCAGGGGTTCGGGTTTTTCATGGAAGTCCATTATTTGACCGACCGCACACATGGTCCTATGCCCAAAACAGTTCCATGAAATCAGTGCCAACGGTCGGTCTCTTTCGGAAGTATAAAAGTGCATAAAATACCAAACATAACATATAATTACAGCGAACAAGAAAAGTCCTCCTGCCCTACCACAGCTGGCTCCAACTGTATGTCCAGTTGTTCTTCTCATATCTTCTATATACTATTACCTTTTCTATCCTCATGTGTTTCCTACCCTTTTGGTGCATCTGGGTCTGCTCCCTCCTTCTCCTTTGATTCCCTCCCTCATCTTACCTCCCCTCTCTATTTCCCTATTATAGTGAGTGCTGGTGTTTCCTGTAGCAACATTTTTAAATTTGGTGTTGGTTAAATTGAAGTGCATTTTCCATTAACGTCAAGTAGCTCAATTCACCTTCCAAATGCCATGGTTTCCTCCATTGGACACATAGAGCTCAAGTGGATATTTTACTTGTCCAGAAGACTCCTTTTACAGCAGGCCAGACACTTTCCACTACGCAAAAGACATTATCCACAGTTCTTTATGACCAATTCTCCTGAACCGAAGATGAAGGGGGAAGCAATAAACTTAAGTGCCACGTGTCTTCTAACGACCTTTACTCTTACTGAGACCCCACTAGTAACCTACCAGGTTGTTTATATACTGTAGCGGAGATGCAATATTCCCCAGGTTATCTCCGCTTATAATCCAAGTGAGGCTCAGGAACAAGTAAATTGTAAATCCACAGGCAAGGTTTCCAGCAGGCAAAATAACAGCAGTATCCCCACAGCAATCCCAATAACTGGACGACACACAGTTTCAGGAGCAGAACTGAAAGCTTTATTCCACACTGGCCTTTTAAAGCATGCTCCCATGCAAGGGAGGGATTTACAGTCATTAGTACAGTAGCCAATCCTGTCCTGGTAACCTCCCACACATCTCCTCCCCTCAGCCTGCATAATACTCCCCTTATCCAGTACAGCAATTCCCCCCGTTTCTGGATGTACCCCTAAACGTAGGGGTACCCCCTTAAATCATGCATCACCTGCTAGCCCTGATCTGGGTGAACAACATATCCAAAAATCACCCAGATCAGACCAGGGGTTCGGGAAATTTATGGAGGGAATAAAATGACCGACCGCACTGAGTGAAACAGCCGAATGTGAATGGGCCCTGCGGTCGGTCCTGGAGTCAGGGAATGAATGGCATGAAAACCTCTAGCTATAGAGGCTAGGGAGGGTTCGCCTGAATCCCCTCGTTCGGTTCTTTCTGTCTACCGAACGAGGGGCCGTTCGGTAGTTAGGAACCGAACGGACCGGGCTTGTGGAGGTTTCAGCGGTGTTCGCCTAGTTGAGTGTCCGATTTGAGTTCCAGACACTCAACGGCAAAACACCGCTGAGTGGGGTTTTTAAAATGGCCGCCGCCACGTGTTCGTTTGTCGAATGGCAGCCACCCCGAGAACAAAGGACGGCTACTTAACTTGTCAATTACCCGTTCGCAACAATGTTGCAACGGGTAATTGAGGACACACTTCACACAGGGGAGGTCTGATTGTTCGGTAGTTTCATTCCCTTAGTTTATTCGAATGATTCTATCGAACAATCAAAGGAATACATTTCTTTTAAAACACATATAAAACCAACAGTTTACACGAATGCAGCTATTCACATGAAATTTTCAGGACAGCCCAGTGCCATCCGCTACATATACCCCTAATGTTTTAAAACTATCATTTTGGCAGTCCTTCTCCATGCATCTCTCCACTCAATCTCTTCCAACTTAGTAATGCAGTCCTCTCAATGGCCATACACAGGAGAGACTCTGGGAGGTTGTTGTGGAAACCATTAAGCAATGATACTTTATTTGCTTGATTCCTTGCCTCAAACAATCTACTCAATATATGGTATGCCCAACATCCTTCAGCACTAGACTACACTCCCATCAATCATTCTCCAAAATAGGCCATTTTCTTTTATCTCCACACATGGCAAAGCATGTCAAATCCTCAGAGATAGGCTCAATCTTATAGTCAGACCATGCTGACATATCATCAACACACTATCTCTAACGTAGATAGACCATTGACATGAAGGCCGAAGAAATTGCTGCTGCATAAAAAAAATCACTTGTAGAAATCATCACAAATGATCTCACAGACTGCCTTGATATTAATGAACCGTTGACCTCTTCCCTGATCTCCCTATGAGCAGCCTATAAGCCGGTTATCAGAGGGAAATTAATTTGTCTGGCCTCCTATCGTAAGAAGCAGTGCTTACAAATTGATTACAGACGTTATGTCTGAAGTTACACAGTTAGAAGTACTTACATAAGAACACTCGTTCACCCCAACTTTTTACTCAGTTAAAACTAGTCAGACAGACATTAAAATCACTAACCCTTTGCCAAAAACTGAAAACGTTATGGAGGGATATATCTCAAAGATTAATAACTTGGTTTTGCCTTGAGTTAAATCCTGAAAAGGCCTTTTTCCATCTAAACTTTCCCAAACAAAACATGATGGAATGGAGAATAGTATTTCATAATTTAACAGCTATTATGCATTCGATTGCAAGAAGCTGGAAGTCCACCAAGGCACCAATTTGGTCTGAAATTAAAACACTATACAAAGTGTTAAATTAATTTAAATGGAATAATAGGTAATATATTTTCTGGAATGAATGGCTAAATATTTTTGATAAAGATGAATTCTAGAAACAACTTTAAATTTAAACTTTTCAAGTTTTAGTTGAGATGTTCTTTGTTTTTGTTTTTTTTGTTTCTTTTTTGTTCAGTCGATTAGCAATTGGAGGCGATAAACACTGTACAAACGCTAAAACAAAATTGAACATTTGTATAGTGTTTATACCGTGTGTCTCATTACCTGCCAAGGAATGTTTGTTTATCTGTATGCTCATGAATTCCTAGATTTCATTTTTGCAGAATTAGGACGTAAATGAGCATGTATATGTCTATAAAATGTCAAGATAATGTTTAATATAAATTGGTTATACTGAATTTCTAATAATAAAAAAAAAATCACTAGCCCTTTCAGACACAGCTTCATACTCTATACAATTCTCCTAAAGGATATATTCTGCTACCCAATATTCCACTGTCTCCACTATTACTTTTTTATCCTTGGAGCCTCTGCTTCAGGCAATTTGGTCCAGCCAAACAGTATGTGGTATGCAGATCAGAAATGTAGACTTTAAAAAGTAGCTGCACACACAGGAACGATCATGTTGGACGCAAGCGGGAACGCGCAAGTGCTCGCGGTGAGGTGTGGTAAGCGGCACAATGCAGGGCGGTATGTCACTCGGCATCTGCCCGAAACTCAATCAACCTGGTGTGGAAAGTTGGAGCCCACCCAGAAATTGAGCTGTAGTAGGAAAGCGCTTGGAGGAGCAGGCGGAGAGTGAGCTGCAAAAGGCCACAGCGTGGAAACAGAATACAGAAAAATCCATGTGGCTGGAGCAAATGCAGAGCACACCAAATACAGAACTTATGAGGAAGAAGTTCCATAAGAAAAATTAACTACTACCACAGACAGATAAGTGATTTACACATGTATTGATCTGATCTGAGTGTTTGGCTGGCAATTAGTGGTTATTTAAATTGCTTCTGATCCTACTACAAATATGAAAGCATATTAAAAGATTTAGTTCTAATAGTGAAAGGAGATAAAATAAGAGGATAAGGCTGAAAAAAAAACAAATATTTACGTGCTGTAATAGGAAGAGTACTGCCATTCAGAGCAACAAGTGGCACTGACAAGTCATAATATTAATTATTAAATGCGATCCAAAGGTGCTTACTATATCCATTCCTGATTTTTATATACTCATACTGAGGAGTTTTGCTCTAAATAAATATTTTCCTTCTGGTAAAGGCCAAATTGCCCCTTTATTGGGATACACAAATTCCGTATGAAGAAAGAAAAAGAAAAGGGAAAAAAAGAAGAAAAGAAGTTTTTTCCTCTGTGTAAACTAAAAAAACAAAGTTCTGTTCCTCATTTAATCCTGGACACCTTCAGTCAATAAACTGATGAATGCACAATATTACCTTAAAGCAACAAACGTGTGGGGGGTATTATTTTTCTCTCTCTCTTCTTGCTTGCCCAAAATGTTCTCATTTAAGATGGCTTCAAAAATAACTAAGGAAAACAAACCTGTCACCAAAAAAGACAAGAAAGGGAAAAATAAAATAGAAAAGAGTTCATCTTTTTTTACACCCCCACAAAACTCCAGATCAGAACTAGAAAAAAAATCCAGAAAGTGAAGCTCTGAGAACTCCTAACAGAGAAGGGAAAGTGACGACTGAAGACCCTATCAAAACCACACACTTGGAAGAACACCAACCCTCCCTACAGGTATACCTTAAAGCTTGCTTTGAAAAACAACTGGGACAAATCAAATCAGAGATACAAGTTAATACAATGGAAATAAAGAAAGATCTACAAGCTTTGGTGAACTGATTTGAAAATAAACGAAGAAAAAAATTGAATCACTAGAGTTCCAATTTGCTCAACAACAGAAAAATCAAAAAGAACTAAAATACAAAATTAGTGATATAGAACTAAGACTAGCAGATGCAGAAGATAGATCCAAACAGAACAACTTGAGATTCAGGTGTCAGGATCCTATCCTGACAACTAAGACTTATGTTACTTTTATTCTGTTTATTTAAAACAAGTTCCTGCATTAACTATATTTTGCTACTAGTGGACTCCCTAACCTTTAGGTATGTAATTACCGTCATCATTCCTCACCTGCCTTGACTATTTGCAGATAAGGCTACACCCTGCTCAATAAAGGGCCTTTACAATGAAGTAGTTGATCATCCTGAAAGACTTCAGTTCCTGGCTCCTGTAATAGTCCCTACGGAAGGGCCTGCTTGCCAGCCTCCTGCCAAAAGACTATTAGCCCTTTAAAAACTTATGTGATTTCTGTACTTTTGTAATCCATAAGGAGAGACTGACCTGTGGCAAACCTAGACACTTGGTCAATATACAGAGACTATGGCTTTAACGGTTGCCTGTATGGTTTTGGTGATGTGTATGTTCCTGGGTGTAATGTACTGTGATTGTATAATATTGTATTGCCTGCATTGGCTATCTGCCAAAAGCAGATAGCTGTATTTCAGTTCGTGAACCGAATAGACCAACCTGTAATAGCCCACACATTAAGAGACGTGTGGCGCTTGTTAACCGATTGCAACAATGTTGCAATGGGTAATTAGAGGCTCTCCTAGGTGGCCGTCGTTCGACTACCGACCACGCGGCAGTCGGCCATCTTGGATCCTTTGTTCCTTCAGCGGTGTTCGGTCGTCGAGCGCGTGGTACTGAAAACGGCTACTCGACAGCGCGAACCCCGCTGGACTTCCAGGCCGTTCGGGAGTAACGGGACTTTCGGTAATTTACTCCCTGTATGTCAATCAGTCGTTTGAATGTAAATGTTGGTGAATACGTTTTTCGTGCGGCGTTCGGTTGTTTTAGCTGGGATCTGAGCGGTAATCTCACGAATTATGAACTCAGACCCCAGCTATCTACCGAACGTCCATTTGTGAAAATCACCCCAATATTGGGGAAGTTATAAATTTTTATGTGAATTGTCGGTTCTGCTGCACGGAGGGATAATCCACTTAACTGTACATTCCAGTGGGAGGATCCCTCTCGTGCAGCAGTGCCTGATGGGAGAAAGGCTCTGTACATTAAGTTTCCCATGTAGTCCACTCCTGTAAACCCCTGTGATGTGACTCAGGAAACCCCTTGCATGGGGAATTGTATAAATTCTGGAGCCTGTGAATAAAGCCTCAGTTGACTCCCAGAACTGTGTTTCGTCCGGTTACTGGGGGATTTGGGATATTGCCTTACTTTCAGCGCTAACTGTGGATTACTGTATGTACCAGCGGAATTCGTGGGTTTTAATATTGCCGGTCCGCTACATGACCATTGGCCCTAATTCCCTGGAACTGTTTTGGGTATAGGACCATGTGCACGGTTGGTCAAAATTATGATTTCCATGGAAGTCCCGAATCCCTGAACCGATCTGGGTGATTTTTGGATATGTTGGATATGATCGGGGCTATCTGGGGATATGACTTTTGTGGGGTTGCCATGTGTTTTAGGGGTACTTTTGGGGTGTTGTTGTATTGCATGTTTTTCTGTGCTTGGAGATAATTGGATTAGATTAGTACAGTTCCTGATCCAATTATCTCCCAGGTACATAGGAGGGATTATCTTATTATGTATTGGAGTGCCCTGGATCTGAGAGCCAATGTGATTGTATAATTGTTTATACTGCAGTTTACTCTCAGGTCCCCGGGGGAGTTCCCCTTTCATGGGGACTTGCATATAAGGCCATTTGTGGCTGCCATTAAACGAGTTCCTGTCTACTCTCAACGTAGAGTGTATAAGTGCAATATCTGGCTCAGCAAAACAATAAATTACTCTATTCCAATTCTGCTTATGTCTGGATTGTATGGTTCTATACGGAAGTGTTCCATCCATTTCTTTTCTAACTATCCTGTAATATGGTGTGACATACTCATGTAGATGTGCTTGAGTTTTTTCCCAAACTGGATCTCAGCACTTGCAATGTAGGCCTTCAATTTCTCTGCAGTTCCTACCTTGTCTTTCATTGTCATACAATACCTAAAATAGTCTGCAAAAAATATTAGTATTATGCCCACAAGACATTGACTGTATTGAAACACATATAACTGAGTAAATGATTTCTAGAGACTTTACTGAGTTTCTGTGACTCTATTTGAAAACAGGGGGTCTTATACCTTGCCTTATGCCTTTTTCTCTTGCCAAACATTTACTCTGTAGATCAGAAATCGCTTTGATGCTACAGATAGATACAGTTTGATCAATTCTTGGCTCTCTGGTCAATGTCACCATTTACTTCTTGTGTGTTACTAATACTATACCACTAAGCCTAATAAACTATTACTTCCAAAGCCTTTTTATTTGGTATTTTACATTTATTGCAATTGACGTTTTCATTGAATCCACGCTTGGTTAATGCTGAACACAGAGTACATTATCTGTAAGTTTAGGGATGTAAATTACTCTCTGCATTATTTTATTTAAATATATTTAATGATTCTATGAATGAAATAGGCTGGGAATCATGGGAGTTGTAGTTCAGCAACATCTGGAGGGCCAGAGTTTGGGGAAGACTGGTATAGACAGTCTGTTGCCATTAGCAATGTTCACCCTTTCTGTAAAATTATTGGCTAATTTTGAAGAAATTAGAATATTTGCACGTATGGTGTTGCATATATTCCAATGATTTTTAAAAACTGTATCTGCCTTTTGCTGAACAATAAAATAATAGAGGCTTATAGTAGAGGCTTTTCTTGACTTTGATGTCCTCATGCATGGGATAGGAATTAGGCTGCCCTAGACCTAAGATAAGGCCAGGGACTAGATAGGTCAAACGGTTCTGCCATCACATTCTATGTTTCTCTTTTAAACAATTTCTAACAAGATGAGATTTATCTCCACAAATACATAATTATTTCATGTTGTCCTTTTTGTTTGCAAATGTATTCCTTGGCTACTGTGATAAGCTGATTTGATTCTTCTGATATCCTTCTCAGTGTTTTGTATTGGAAATACGTGTGTACGTTACCCTTTCCTGCATTTTCAGCTTTCCTGACTGAATGTAACATATTTTTCAGAGTTTGTAGTGCACAAACGAATGAATATTAATTTTCTGAAATACTTGATACAATCATAATCATTGTATTCATAAAACTTATTTCCAATAGAATTGAAGTGATCAATTAACTCAGACATATGATTCAGATGTTTCTCTAAGTATCTATCCCCAGACAACTTCATATTGAACAGTTTTCTTGATAAAGTCCTTTATTTAGACTGCATCTTCTATACTTTTCTTCTAAGTCTTCACGTAACTTCTTTGAAATCGCTGATTTAAAAGTGGAGATCGCTGCTCTATTTTTGCTGTCCTTTTTCTCCTACTTGATTATTTTTTCCATCAGCGTTAAACGGTAATTCTTTCATAGCATTTTAGAGGTCTTTTCTCAAAAGCTCATTCGGCATTTTGAATTTCCATACAAGGAAATTTGTACAGGCACAGCAGCTGCCATAACATTCGCAGCTCTAGTGCATGTGGCCATCCTTTTAGCTTTGTCCAGCAGCAGCATGTAGAGGTAGGTCAGGACACACATATAAAAATCTGAAATACAGAGGCTACAAGAGAGGAAGAAAAGAAAGAGAAGACACCATACTTCCTTTCCAGCACCATAGAAACCATAGAACACATAGTAACTACTCCAATACATTCACATCAGACACTACTGATTTTTCCTAACAGTGATCAAGGGCCAGCTGCTAGACCTCAGCAACTTGTAATGACTATGCAATCTAAAGTCTTGTCCTGCCACATCTTCTGACCTCTGTTACTACACTTCTGACAAGCAATAAGAAGCTCGCTATATGGTAGCTTCCGGAAAGGTGCACATCTTATTTATGAGCTGACAGGTGTACGCAATACTTGGTAAAATAAAAGTGGTTAACAGAGGTGTATGCAGGAAGCAACATGGTTTGTATGTAATCTGTACTCTATGGAGAAAAGGTATAGGTAAAACTGCAGCTTTATTAACATGTCAGATGGGTGCTTTCTCCAAATTCCCATCTGGCATATGGCTGCACTGATACTGCACTTTTCATATAACATTTGAAAACAGAATAATCCAGGGCTTAATATAACCACCAAGCCCTTCCAATCAATATGTTTGGGGCAATATGAATCAAAGCCAGAGCCCAGTCATTCTCTTCTTACTACAATGTGATTATTATAATTATATGGAAGACTGCTGTCTTTTCTTTTAGTGTATTAGAAACATAGAATGTGAAGGCAGAAGAACCATTCGGCCCATCTAGTCTGCCCAATTTTCTAAATACTTTCGTTAGTCCCTGGCCTTATCTTATAGTTAGGATAGCCTTATGCCTATCCCCTGCATGCTTAAACTCCTTTACTGTGTTAACCTCTACCACTACCCTCTCAGTAAAGTAATACTTCCTGATATTATTTTTAAACCTTTGTCCCTCTAATTTAAGACTATGTCCTCTTGTTGTGGTAGTTTTTCTTCTTTTAAATATAGTCTCCTCCTTTACTGTGTTGATTCCCTTTATATATTTAAATGTTTCTATCATATCCCCCCTGTCTCGTCTTTCCTCCAAGCTATACATGTTAAGATCCTTTAACCTTTCCTGGTAAGTTTTATCCCGCAATCCATGAACCAGTTTAGTAGCCCTTCTCTGAACCCTCTCTAAGGTATCAATATCCTTCTGAAGATACGGTCTCCAGTACTGTGTACAATACTCCAAGTGAGGTCTCACCAGTGTTCTGTACAATGGCGTGAGCACTTCCCTCTTTCTATTGCTAATACCTCTCCCTATACAACCAAGCATTCTGCTAGCATTTCCTGCTGCTCTATTACATTGTCTGCCTACCTTTAAGTCATCAGAAATAATCACCCTTAAATCCCTTTCCTCGGATGTTGAGGTTAGGACTCTATCAAATATTCTGTACTCTGCCCTTGGGTTTTTACGTCCAAGATGCATTATCTTGCACTTATCCACATTAAATGTCAGTTGCCACAATTCTGACCATTTTTCTAGTTTACCTAAATCATTTGTCATTTGGCTTATCCCTCCTGGAACATCAACCCTGTTACATATCTTAGTATCATCAGCAAAAAGACATACCTTACCATCAAGACCTTCTGCAATATCACTAATAAAAATATTAAAGAGAATGGGTCCAAGTACAGATCCCTGAGGTACCCCACTGGTGACAAGCCCAAGCTTCGAATATATTCCATTAACTACAACCCTCTGTTGCCTGTCACTCAGCAATTGCCTTACCCATTCAACAATATTGGAATCCAAACTTAAAGATTGCAGTTTATTGATAAGCCTTCTATGTGTAACAGTGTCAAAAGCCTTACTGAAATCTAGGTAAGCAATGTCTACTGCACCACCCTGATCTATAATTTTAGTTACCCAATCAAAAAAATCAATAAGATTAGTTTGGCATGATCTCCCTGAAGTAAACCCATGTTGTCTCTGATCTTGAAATCCATGTGTTTTTAGATGTTCAACAATCCTATTCTTTAACATGGTTTCCATCACTTTCCCCACTACTGAAGTAAGGCTTACTGGCCTATAGTTGCCTGACTCCTCCCTATTACCTTTCTTGTAAATGGGCACAACATTCGCTAACTTCCAATCTTCTGGGACTACTCCTGTTAACAATGATTGGTTAAATAAATCTGTTAATGGTTTTGCTAGTACACCACTAAGCTCTTTTAATAGCTCTGGGTGTATTCCATCAGGTCCCATTGACTTATTTGTCTTTACTTTTGACAGTTGAAATAGAACCTCTTCCTCTGTAAACTCACGTGTAATAAATGACTAATTTATCCTTTTTCTCAACTGAGGTCCCTTTCCTTCATTTTCATCTGTAAATACAGAACAAAAATATTCATTGAGGCAGTCAGCCTAGACCTTTATCCTCTTCTACATACCTTCCTTCTTTTGTTTTTAATCTAACTAATCCTTGTTTTACTTTTCTTTTCTCATTTATGTATCTAAAAAAAGTTTTGTCCCCCTTTTTTACTGACTGTGCTATTTTCTCTTCTGTGTGTGATTTGGAAGCTCTTATAACTTGCTTAGCCTCTTTCTAGCTAATCTTATAGATCATTTTGTCTTCCTTATTCTGTTTTTTTTTTTATAATTACTAAATGCTAACTTTTTGTTTTTAACTATTTTGGCCACATCTGCAGAGTACCACAGTGGTTTCTTGAATTTTTTGCTTTTACTGACAAGCCTAATGCAATTTTCTGTTGCCTTCAGTAGTGCAACTTTTAAATAATCCCATTTCCTCTTGGGCTCCATTTAAATTGCTCCAGTCTGATAATGACTCCTCTACACATATTCTAAGTCTAAAACTTTTGTTTTTGTGTGGTGTGACTCGGTCACTGTTCTTATATTAAACCACACTAACTGATGATCACTGGATCCTAAACTTTCACCTACAGTAATATCTGATATATTGTGTGTTTGTATATATGATCTACATATCTATATAATACACATTTTCTCTAATGTTCTCCCTTCTATTTTTCACATTAACACTAACTTCTGTCATTACTAAAATATCCCTATCCTTTCACTCACCTGTCCCTGGCAACATCATCATCATTACTTCCACCTTACTCCCCTCCCCTCTCTATTCATCCCATGCACTCTACACATACCTTTCCAGCCTATCTCCACCGACTCTTTCCAAATCCTCCACATACATACCCTCCTACAAAACTTTCAAATCCTACTCCCACCTTTACTTCCTTTCTATCCTTCTGCTCCTAGCAGCTGGTGATGTCTCTCCAAACCCCGGTCCCCTCTCAACAAACTCAGCACATACTAACCCAAGGATCCACACTAATCTCATACCCATCTCTTGTTCCTCTAAATCCTCCTTCAATACTGCCCTCTGGAACGCACGCTCTGTTTGCAATATAACTAAATCCACTGCTGTCCATGACGACTTCATCTCTCGTTCAATAGATTTACTAGCCTTAACAGAAACCTGGCTCTCCCCCTCTGACACTGCCACCCCTGCATCTTTGTCCTTCGGTGGTCTCCAACTTACCCACACCCCAAGAAACTCTGAATGTAAAGGTGGTGGTGTTGGGTTTCTCCTCTCCCCTCACTGCTCTTTTAATCCTCTTCCCACCCCCCCTTCCCTCTCTTTCCCGTCATTTGAAATACACTCAATTCGCCTTTTCAAACCCTTCGCTGCTAACATTGCTGTTTATTTACCGTCCCCCTGGTTCCCCTCTTCCCTTCCTTGACCATTTTGCTGCCTGGCTACCCTATTTCCTCTCTTCTAACATCCCATCCCTAATTCTCGGGGACTTCAATATTCCTATAAACCCACCTTTGACCGCTGCAGCCAATAAACTACTTTCAATTACTTCCTCCCTCGGGCTATCACAGTGGGCAAATTCTCCCACCCATGTAGCTGGCAATACCCTTGACCTAATCTTCACTTATGCATGTACAGTATCTAATATCTGCAACACTCCCTATCCTCTCTCTGATCACCACCTCTTATCGTTTGCTCTCACGTACCCCCTCACCCAACAACCTCCGCCTAACCAGCCTCAACTCAGGAGGGACCTTAATTCTCTTGATCTCCAAAAGTTGTCAGCTGACATTGATCCACAACTGCTGTCCATCCCTTCCCTATCCTGTCCTTCACTGGCCATCTCCATATATAACTCTACTCTTACATCTGCCTTGAACACTGCAGCGCCACTCCAAGCAAGCACCTCAAGGAGAACCCGCCCCCAACCGTGGCATACTAAATCAACGCGCTACCTGCAAAGATGCTCCCGGTGTGCTGAACGCTCCTGGAGGAAGTCTCGCACCCAGTTAGACTTTCTCCACTATAGAGGGGGACTTTCTCCACAATGAAGGGGGAAGTTATCATCATGGGTGACTTTAATCTTCCTGATGTGAATTGGAAAACAAAAATAGATGCTTGTGCCAGGAGCACACATATTCTAAACTCCCTACTGGGATTGTCTCTAAAACAAGTCGTTGAGGAGCCAACTCGTAAAGAGGTCATACTAGATTTAGTATTAACAAATGGAGATTTGGTATCATTATTATTATTATTATTATTGCCATTTATATAGCGCCAACAGATTCCGTAGCGCTTTACAATATTATGAAAGGGGATTTAACTATAAATAGGACAATTACAAATATACTTACAGGAACAATAGGTTGAAGAGGACCCTGCTCAATCGAGCTTACATTCTATAGGAGGTGTACTGTGTTCATACAGTGCAGCCCTTGCCCTTGCCAAACAGTCCTATTTTTCCTCTCTCATTAGTTCATGTTCCCGCAACCCCAGGCGTCTCTTTGACACCTTTAATTCTCTTGTTCGCCCCGCTGTGGCCACCCCCCAAACCAACCTTACTGCTGATAACTTTGCATGTTACTTCACTGACAAAATTGAACAGCTAAGGAAAGAATTCTCCCCTCCTTGCCTTTCTGTTTCTCAATCTCACATTGATCATGCCTTTCCTACCCTTCAGACATTCTCCCCAGCCACTGACCAAGAGGTGGCTGCTCTTCTTTGCTCCTCTCGCCCCACCACTTGCCCGCTCGATCCTGTCCCGTCTCACCTTATCAGATCTCTCTCCGCTTGTCTCGTGCCTTCTCTAACACACATCTTCAACTGCTCGCTCTCTTCTGGCATCGTCCCTGCTGACCTTAAACATGCCACTGTAGTACCTATACTAAAAAAACCATCCCTTGACCCGTCCACCCCCTCTAACTACCGCCCCATATCCCTGCTCCCTTTTTCCTCAAAGCTTCTGGAAAGACTCGTCTTTACCCGTGTGTCTCATTTCCTCAATTCCAACTCTCTCCTTGACCCCCTTCAATCTGGCTTCCGCCCTCTCCACTCTACAGAGACTGCCCTTATCAAAGCTACTAACGACCTAATCGCAGCTAAATCCAAAGGCCACTACTCCATACTAATTCTTCTTGACCTCTCGGCGGCCTTTGACACCGTTGATCATGCTCTCCTTCTTCAAACTCTGCAATCGCTTGGTCTCTGTGACTCTGTCCTCTCATGGTTTTCCTCTTATCTCTCGCAACGCTCATTCAGTGTCTCTTTTTCTAATGATACCTCCTCCCCTCGCCCTGTCTCGGTTGGAGTCCCCTTCTATTTTCTCTTTACACTGCCTCTCTTGGCAAACTTATTACCTCATTTGGTTTCCAGTACCACCTGTACGCTGATGACACCCAGCTATATCTCTCCTCCCCGGACCTCTCCCCTGCTGTCCTGCAACGTGTCACTGCTTGCCTTTCTTCCATCTCTGACTGGATGTCCTCCCGCTTTCTGAAACTCAATCTCTCAAAAACTGAGCTCCTTGTCTTTCCTCCTCCTAATACTGATCCTACTCTTTCGCTCTCCCTTCAAGTTTGTGGTACCAACATCAGCCCATCCTTGCAAGCGCGCTGTCTTAGCGTCATACTTGACTCTGGTCTCACCTTTAAGCCTCACATCCAGCATGTTGCCAAATCCTGTAGATTCCATCTTAAAAACATAGCCCGCATCCGCCCCTTTCTTGCACCAGATACTACCAAGGAGCTTGTCCATGCTCTAATAATTTCACGCATGGATTATTGTAACCCTCTCCTGCTTGGTCTTCCTAAAAGCCTTTCTGCACCCCTACAGTCTGTAATGAATGCTGCTGCTAGACTGATTTTCCTCTCTAGTCGGTTCTCTCACACCTCACCCCTCTGCCAGTCCTTACATTGGCTTCCTGTGTGCTATAGGAGTCAATTCAAGGCACTAACTCACACCTATAAAGCACTGAACAACTCTAGCCCCTCTTATATCTCCTCACTGATCCACAGGTATGTCCTTTCTCGGTCTCTCCGCTCTGCCCGTGACCACCTCCTGTCCGTTGTCCGCACCCGTACGGCCAACTCGCGCTTGCAGGACTTCTCGCGGGCGGCTCCCTTCCTATGGAATAGCCTGCCTACCGCCATCCGACTCTCCCCTAGTCTTGCATCTTTTAAGAAGTGCCTTAAAACCCATTTCTTTAGGAAAGCTTATGGCCTCCAAGACTAACCCCTACCTCACATACCCATCTCTTGCCCTCTCCTAAAGGGCAGCCCACCTTATTTGATTGTACATTCCTGTCCTAATGTGTCTTACACCCCACCTCCTATAGAATGTAAGCTCGATTGAGCAGGGTCCTCTTCAACCTATTGTTCCTGTAAGTATATTTGTAATTGTCCTATTTATAGTTAAATCCCCTTTCATAATATTGTAAAGCGCTACGGAATCTGTTGGCGCTATATAAATGGCAATAATAATAATAATAATAATAATAATGATACCAAATCTCCATTTGTTAATACTAAATCTAGTATGACCTCTTTACGAGTTGGCTCCTCAACGACTTGTTTTAGAGACAATCCCAGTAGGGAGTTTAGAATATGTGTGCTCCTGGCACAAGTAGCTAATTTTGTTTTCCAATTTACATCAGGAAGATTAAAGTCACCCATGATGATAACTTCCCTCTTCATTGTCATTTTAGCTATTTCCTCAACTAGTAGATTATCTAACTCTTCAATTTGTCCTGGGGGCCTATAAATCACACCTACACGAGTTACTGTGTGATTACCAAATTCTAACGTAGCCCAAACGGACTCTATGTTTGCCTCACTAACTTTTATTAGGCTAGATTTTATACTATCCTTCACATACAAGGCCACCCCTCCCCCTTTCTTGCCTTCCCTATCTTTCCTATATAAAGAGCACCCTGGTATTGCTATGTCCCAGTCATTTTTCTCATTATACCATGTCTCAGAAACAGCGACTAAATCTACACTATCAGTTGCCATTATTGCCACAAGTTCATGAATCTTATTCCCTAAACTGCGAGCATTTGTAGACATGACTCTAAGCTTATCATTTTTTAACACACTTGCTACAGGCACCTTCTTTCCTTGTTTTGGGGGACAATTGGATTGATGTTTTATCACCCTTTTGCCCCCCCTCCTAGTTTAAATACATCCTAGCAAAACCTCTGAACTGCTCACTGAGAACATTTGTTCCCTTTTGAGAAAGATGCAAACCATCTTTTTTGTACAGGTTATTTCCATTCCAAATAGAGCTACCATGAGAAATAAAGCCAAATCCTTGCTCCCGACACCATTCACCAAGCCACAAATTAAAGTCCCTAATACACATCCGCCTGTCATTCTGAGTGTTATGCACAGGCAGAACTTCAGAGAATGACAGTGTGGAAGCAACCTGCCGTATATCATTGGCAAAAACACTAAAAACTTCCTTAACCTCTGAAACCTCATTGCAAGCCAAGTCATGTGTCCCTAGATGGACAAGTACATCCAATTCCCCTTCCTGCTTTGCTCGCTTAACAATATTACAGATACGTCTCCTGTCTCTGTGAGCAGTAGCTCCGGGAAGACACCTCACAAGACCACCATTGTCCATCTCCACACCTCTTATAATGGAATTCCCCAACAACAACTGCTTTCTATTAGGCCTCACCATAGTCTCCAAGCCGGTCTCCACAACACCACTAGTCTCAGTGCCTCTCTCCACAACACCACTAGCCTCAGTGCCTCTCTCTACAACACCACTAGCCTCAGTGCCTCTCTCCACAACACCACTAGCCTCAGTGCCTCTCTTCACAACACCATTACACTCTGAAAGTGCAGAAAATGAATTATGAAGAGCAACAGACTGTGCAATATGCCTTTTATCCACAACTCTAAGTCTACCAGATCCTACAGTAATCCATCTGCCATTCCTAGTATGTCTCTGCGGCAGTGGCTTTGCAGCAGTTCCAGTCTGAGTTTGTTTACCAGATAATTTACAAATCTCAGACTTCAAGAATACAATCTCCTGCCACAAGATAGAGAACTGTCTACAGATTAGACAACAACCAAACCTCCAAAAAGTGGAACGTGAAACAAATGCATAGCAACTATTACACTGAACTAAGTCTGCCATTCCAATGAGGTGAATAAATTAAATCAAACAAATCTTAACTTTTTATTTATCCTTCTGAATACCTCAGATTACCTCAGATTACCTCCAGAATATCTCCAACCACACACTTAGAAGCAACACTTAGATGAAGTAACCAAGCTATATTAGTCATATCTCTATCTATAGTCCTCTGACAAGGATTCAGAAAAGGTTTGCGTGTATGTTATCTCTAGCTCTATAGTTATAACTACGACATGAACAGCACTTGAAATGGGATGAAACAAATTAACGACTAATTCACTAATTAAATCACAGGAAACAAAAAGTTACTGTAAGTGGTTGCATAATTATAATGGGAATGGCTGGATGAAAATGAAACAATATGGGATTGAAAGGTATCAGAAGTATGACGGAACAAAGACACATATAGCATATATGCTAAAGATGTACGCATATAGATACAAATATTACTGAAGAACTAAGGGTGCTTGTTTTGTACGATATACAGGGTTATTTACTAAAGTGGGACTTCTAAGTGAAATTCAAATTTAAGGCCAGAGTAGCAAAACTTAAAGTTTCTTTTTTTCAATTCAGCTATTTTGACCTTAAATTTGAAATTGTATTTCAAATTTGCACAAGGATGGGCTGTTACCCTGTTAGTTATTTTATTTGTTTATCATATATGAGTCCGTCAAGGTACAACCAGGTCGGTCATGTATATCAAACGACTGCAGATATGGAAGTACATATATGGCACAAATATGTGAAGTTCGGCTTATATAGTGTTGCATACCTTGGACACGTGCCAGATTGCAAATAAATAATAATGGAAAAAATACAATAGTCCAGGGCTATTTTGCTAGGTAAGTTGCTACAAGCTCCCTTCTCCACTTCCTTTATACTAAATCCAGCCGGCACCATTATTGTGACCTTTCAGCTATGCCACACATGTACCACCATTCCTGCACATTTTGGGCATACATGAATAATGTAGGACAATAGCAACTCACCTTTGACTATTTAATCCTCTTTTATACCCAGCTATATGCTCTGTTGTGGTTTATTTTAGGCTTAATAGTTCTTTTTCGCTTGTCTGTCCTGGTATTGAACTTGGCTTGGCTTGTCTTATGCCCATTCCCATTGCAGTTTCTATCATTTTGCCTCTCTATAGACTTTTCATTAAGTCTGGTAATTCTAAGGTCCAATAACTGTCCTGTGTTTATAATGTTCAAGATTTTTTTTTTTTTTGATTCAGGTTCTATGTTTTGAATCAGGGGTTGGCAACCTTTGGCATTTCAGGTGTTTTGGATTATGTCTCCCATGATGCTTTACCAGCATTATGGCTGTAAGAGCATTATGGGATATGTAGTCAACAACATCTGGAGTGCTGAAGGTTGCTTACCTCTGCCCTAGGTTATTGTTACAAATACAGAAATTCACTCAAACATTAAATCTAACAGTGTGCAAATACAGCAATAAAAGAATCTGCATAGGAGCTTTACCAGTCATTTAGTGGTTTATATAGGGGCCTCAACTCTTCATGACTTAATCAGGGTTATTAAAGTCTCAAATTCACTTTCCTCATACTTATATCTATTCACTTGTTCTATTTTCTAAGCATACAACAACCAACAGGGTGATATAAATTATCATAGGAAGAAAGTCATTTAATTTACACATAAAATTATAGAAACTTGGAGCGAAGTAAAACATATAAATGTGAAGAGAATCAATTTACTGCTGTGGATTTAATGTTGTATTTGCGCTTCGTCTTTTTTAATCTGCATATTTTTAGATTTTAGAGGCAATAATGTTGTTGTACATGCAGTATTACACTATATGCACGTATGTCCTGTATATTTATATGGAAGTAGGCCCTGCCAGAGGCTACACTAACATTGAGTGCTTGGTAAAATAACCTACCAATGTATGCACTTCCATTCCTGCCATTTGACATACATTAAACTCTTGAATAGTATTCACTGCCTCAAGATAGAATTGATTAGTCACAATCTCAAAGGTTACATTCCCTTTTGCATGAACTATTTATAACAGTAAGTATGCACAGTTTTCATCATGTGCATAATTTCCAACTAAGATATATTGTGTTTGTTAGCATTTGTCAAGTTATTGTATATTGTTTTTGTTTAGGTGGTCCTCCTTTATGCTTCTACCTATGTGCTAGTGTCACTTAGCATTGACAGATACCATGCCATTGTCCACCCAATGAAGTTTCTTCAAGGAGGTAGGAAAGAAAGGTTTATTTATTCTTATTATTAATTTGTAGTTTATAAGTGGTGTGTGTATATGAATTTTATTTATGAATGATATATTTTGTAGATTTACTACAGAAATTAGCTGTGACTGTGGGTTTCTAGCTATGCATTCTAGTCTAACCATTAGGAAATCGTGTGTGTGTGTATATATATATATATATATATATATATATATATATATATATATGTGTGTGTGTATATTCATTTATTTGTGTTATATAATGTATATGATTAAGTGCCTCATTATTATTGTTTAAAATGCTTCAATATTTTAGTATTTTTTTACTTTCAAGTAGCATTTTGCAACTAGTTTACTCTTTACTGATTTGTTTTACTCTATAATAAATAGATTATAATTCATGAAAATATTCTTTAGCAAGTAATACATACATTACAATAACTGATTTAGCATTTTAACATATTCATGAATAAGTTTAGGAAATTCTGTAAATGAATATGTTGGTGCAACAACCAATCATATATTTCCTGGCTAATCATGGCAGCATATACACATGGGTTAGCTCCTCCCCTACAGCCGATAGGACAGGAAAACCACCAAGGTTTTAAAAGGAGGCTCCATCCCTAAGGTCCTCAGTCTTTTTCCTGTCCTACAGCCCTTAGGACGTGAGCAATTTGCTCCCTTTACTTACGGACATGTATGTTGTTTTATCTTCATTACTTTATTTTCTGTTTTACTGTAGTACATTATGCAGTTGTGCTTTTATGCTGTGATGCATTTAAGCTTTGATATCTTTAACCCCTTAAGGACCAAACTTGTGGAATAAAAAGGGAACCATAACATGTCACACATGTCAGGTGTCCTTAAGAGGTTAAACTAGTGCATTATACAGCTGTACCTTATTTTTAAGATTGTGGTACATAATGCGGTTGTGCTTTTACTAGGAAGCATTTAAGCTGTGTTGCATTTAAAACTGTTTTCATTTAAAGTTGCATGTAATACCGCAAGTCATTGAAGACTGCAGTGCTTTTGAAGACTGCAGTTTGTTTGAAAACTGTGATACATTTTGGAAACTGTGATACATTTTGGAAACTGTGATACATTTTGGAAACTGTGTTACCTTTTATACCTTGCGGCCTTTAGACTGTGGTGCCTTTAAAATTGATTTTTTGCTCCTGGTTTCCTTTTAAACTTCCTTGCAGGCACTTTTGTTATCTATGTTGCTTCCCCTCGGTCCCAGTGATTTATTCCTGGTTCCCTGGGTGTTTAGGGGCCATGTAGGCTTCAGACAGAGTCCTCTCCCTGGTCTCTAACAGCAAACACACTCAGAATAGGCCCACATGTGTGCAGTTTGTGCCTTATTGGGCCTAATACAGAGGACTTGCATTGTGGGAATACAAGTTGTGGCAGCCATCTTGGATAAGGGCAATTGCCAGAAAGTGCCTAAGATAAAGGGAAAATTACAGTAAACATACACTTATGGGGTAAGTATTTGCAGGGTCTCCAGACATGGATAAGTGCTGTCTTCAGCCTGTTTTAAAGCTGTTTTGCTGGTTTCTTATAGAATTTAACAGTGCACATTTTTTCTTAATACTTTACCACAGGTAATATTTAATTATTTATTATTATTTGTCAGGTGTCTGATTCTTCACCAGGATCTGGATATGAGGAGAATACAGTGGAAGGAATCGGTTATGCACTGACTGCCTCCAGAAGGTTGTCGCTTCAGCATGACCTATCACTGTGCAGCCACATGACATGCGGGCAGGGCTTACAAAGTAAGTTCCAGAGGCCTTAGGGGTAAGAAAAGAGGCCAGGCTTTACCCTGTGGAGGAAGTTATTTCCAACCCTAGAACTACACCACCTAAGTTGCACACTTATGGATCATAGGTGGACGCAGACCTGTCCAAAATTTTACGCCTACCATTGCAGGAGGCCAGCCAGCTGTGATTTCCGCTGCTGTTTCTACAAACATGAAATATGTGATTAAAGATCTAAAGGCTACTATGGAGAGAGATATTAAAGGCCAAGATTGAAGAGGCAATCTGAAGTCTTCTGGTTACAACTGACTTCTTCACAGAAACTTCCCTAGATGTAACTAGGATAGTCTGTGGATCAAATGGCTTTATCTATAGCAGCTAAGAAAGCATTATGGTTCTGTTTCTGGGATGATGACTCATCCTCAAAGTCTGCCCTCTACACCATTCTGTTTGAAGGGGTGGTGCTGTTTGGGGAAAACTTTGGATAATTCCATTGAAAAGGCGAATGAGGGCTGCAAAATATTGGTACCTTAGGATGGAAGTTCCAAGGATCCCAGCTCCTCATAGTCTGACCGGAGAACCTCCAGTGACCAGTATTTCTGAGATACATGAAGCTACTGGCCCTGCGGGGAATACTCCAGAGGTAACTCAGGGCAGTTGGTAAACCTGCCTTTCAAGGTTCTAATGTAGCTATAACGCAGTTGTTTTGCTCTTCAGCAATGAACATATCTCCTCCATTACTAGGAGCCTAATTTTTCTGATCACACATACCTGGGCTTGTCATACTCTGGAGGCTTGAGTGTTATCCATGGCCCAGATTGAGTTTTTTCTTAACGGGCACAGGAGTCTCCATACCAACAGGAGTATTAAGACCAATGAATCAAAAGGTAAAGCACTGAAGGAAGAAGCCTTCTGGACGAAGAGGTGATTTTTTTTTTTTAGGTCCCAGAACAAGAGCAGTTCCAGGGACAAGTTTCGCCTCTCTTCTGGTGCTAAAAGGAAAAGCACATGAAAGCCTACACTGGACCTAAGAGGGGCCAACAAGAGGCTGAATGTTAGTCTTTGGAATGGAGTCAATCAGATCCATATCTCAAGCAATTTGGAAGGATAATTTCCTTACCTCTATATATCTCAAGGATGCTTACTTTCAGTCCAATCTGCAGAGATCTTCGGCATTAGCTCAGAAGAGAACTTCCATGTTAGTGCCCTACCATTTGGCCTCAATGCAGCCCCAAGAATCTTTCTATGTGCTTATAGTGTTATTGAGAGTCCAGAACTCCACCTGGTTCCATTATCTGGAGGATCTACTTGTGATAGCCTTAGACCCTCAGAAGGCAGGCACACATAGGTATATAGTTCTTTCATACCTCCTAAAGTTTGGCTGCTTGATGAATATCAAGAAAAGCAGTTTCAGACCAGCTCAGTGATTGACATTCCTGAGTTGAAAATTCTAGGCTCTGCTTTTCCCTATCTCGGGAACAGTTCCACAGATTGTAAATGTTTTCTCTCCCAGTTTCTTCATTTCTGCTTGGTAACAGCAAGAAAATAGATGCAACTACTAGGAATCCGGGCTTCCACCAGCAGACTTGTCAGAGGGGCCCAATGGCATCTTTGGATTCCTTACAGATCCTTCCTATCTTGGTCTAACAAGAGAGAGATTATTGGAGCCAGCCACTTACTATGTCCCCATCAGTGGAGTTGCACCTTATCCTGGCTGCTGAAAGAGGGATTGGATCTCTGAGTTTCCAGTGAACAGAACCTCATTGGTCAATTATTAGCTCGAATTCCAGTTTTTATAAGATTGGTTGCACAGTGTTTGGACCATGTTGCACAATATTTCCATTCATTTGTATGGAATTAAGAGTCATTTTCTAGGCTCTTCTTCACTTCACAGGCTTGCTGAAGAACAAGTGGGTCCAAATTTGCTCAAATTTCAATGCAACTGTATCCTATATCTACCAAGATGGGTCTCACAGATACGTATTGATGGAATTCCAGCCCATAATGATCAGGGCACAGAAGAACAACCAGTGGCTCAGAATACCATGGCTGTTTGCTGGAGCCGAATAACTGTGCCAAGGTGGATTGGCAACCATGTCCTTACGGATCCTCGTGGTTGACGCAGATTGTTTGATGGCCATTTCTTGAAACTACCAGGTCCAGAAGTATTTTTTACATGCTAGGACCAGAATGCTCAGGTTCAGGATACACTGGCTCAAATTTAGAATTTTAGTATGATGTACATATTTTCCTGTTTTCGACCTTCTTAAAAAGGCAATGCAAGAGGTGACAGTGGAAGACCGTGTCGACTATAATTCCTATGATGAATAAGATGATTCTGGAACCTCCAAGGGAAATTCCTGTACGTCCAGACCTATTACAAGGCCCCATGACACACCAGGATCCTCAAGTTCTGGTGTTGATGCGGGAGTCCATATTAGTATAGGCATCCCTGAGACGGTCATTGAGATCCTCTTACAATCCTATACAGGCTTTACTAAGTTTGACATGCTTTTGTCTGTTGGAATTACTCCTCGTTCAGGCCTTGAAAGGTTCTGTGTTATAACACTCTAGAGGAGCACTTAGCTGCACTTTGCTTCATATAGGCATTGATTGAAATCATGCCTCCACTGAGTGTGGTGAAGCCAATATGTGACATACCAATGGTCACACGAGCCCTGACTGAACCATTATTCGAACCTCTAGAAGGAGCTTCCATGGTGGTAGCACAGAAAGTGCTGGTGGCTGGTACCCCAGCAAGAATAATGGGTGAACTCCAGGCTTGGTCCTGTGAACCCCCTTTCACTACTTTTCAACAGATATGGTCGTCTTGCATTTGGCACCTGAAGATCCTGCCTATGGTGAATGCTTATCTATGTCATTCTCTACCTGTACTAAAGGGTACCGATTGAGCGTTGATGCCCCTGGTGTTTTGCTTCATGTAAGCAACAATTGAACTCAAGCCTCCGCTGAGGGTGTTGAAACCAATATGTGACGTACCACTGGTCTCACAGACTCTGACTGTACTTCTAACAAGAGCTTCCATGATGTTAGCCCAGACGTTGCTGTTGCTAGTGACTGGTACCTCAGCAGGGTAAATGTGTGCACTTGCTGCACTTTGCTTCATATAGGCATTGATTGAAATCATGCCTCCACTGAGTGTGGTGAAACCAATATATGATGTACCACTGGTCTCACGGGCCCTGACTGAACCATTATTCGAACCTCTAGAAGGAGCTTCCATGGTGGT